AGCGATTACTTCGATCACAAGGAATGACTTTAACCCACTTACGTGGAGAACTCGGCATTACGCTATGAGGTGTGCTTGGGTCAGGGACATGATACACAGCGGCTACCGCGACGCAGACTTGACCGAGATTGAATGTTTGTGGAAAGCAGGCGATGACTTAGTGGCGGATGCACTCACCAAGGTCTTGCCAAAGGCCCGTTTAGAGAGGCTTCGGAAGCGTTTGGGAGTCTTGACGAGACGGATGGGCCACTGAGTTTTTTAAAGTTCTACGGCGCCGAAGGAATAGTCCAGCGCTACAGTTCAATCATGTGACACTGGGGATAGCAGTTCCAGCAGGCCGTTCCTCACGAACAGCTGGAAAGGAGGAGTGTTGTAGGAAACCCCAGATGTCCATGATGCTTTTATATCTGCTCTTGATGCCTTGGCTAGGCTGTCGAGCGATGTGTTTGAAGTATCTAATTTATGCTTCTTGCGAACCAATTATTTTATCTACTCGTAGTACACCGCACTTACACACCATGACACACGTACGTGTTCGAGTGCAGTGCGGTAGGAGTAGGATGATGGGCACTGGCCCGAAACAAGAAAAGAGAAAGACCTCGAAATAAGAAAGCGGAAAGGCTACGGGGCAGCCATGTAAAGGGCTAGTGCAAGTAAGTTTCACGTCATGTTCGCATGCATGTTTTTGCAGTAGACATATGCTTGTCTCGAAGATGCCAAGCATGTCTCAGAAGCCATTTACACGACGAAACTGCGAATGGCTCAAGTTCGACAAAAGGCCACGAGTGACCGCGAGATTCGGGGTTTTTGCGTTCAGGGTTGTTTCAGTCGGTGTGGTCGGCTCAGCTTCAGCAGTGCCTCCCTTTAACACCTTCGACGACCCAACCCTAAACGTGTCGCTGCAGAACTCAGTCAGTGTTCAGAGGAGAACACGACATTGCAGAGTTCCTTCAGCGCTTCGAGTTAAGAGTTCACGAGATTCAAGAGACAACCAGTGCGTGGGCGCACTGGGGCACATTTTGGGTTTAGTGATTTCTTGCTACACGTGTGGTTACCCTAGTGTTCCCGAACCCGGGTTTAGGTGGTTCCTTATCGACCTTAAAAGGCTCAAACGTTCAAGCCGAGTACAAGCGGCGGGTTTGCGACGACGGTCGGAACTTAGAACTTTGACGATCAGACGACATTGTTTCTGCTATGGAATTGTCACCAGTTCCTACGCATTACTCTGTTATCACGGATGAAAGTCCATATCAACAACAGATTTGGTGCGCAATCAACTTGTGCTGGAGTCTTCAGGGCAAGTATCCTGCGATCAGTGTCGACCCAGCGCGTAGCAACAGGCCGTGGCCGATCCACCGATGGAGGTGCAACCCCCTGGTGAAGGAGAGGAGGCGCCCCATTTCGTGGTGATCAGCCGTAGCGGGCATAGGATGTTGCACTTGTCACGGTCATGCGCTGTCCGGCAGGAGCGCTGTCTTGAAACAATCCCATTGTACAGCAGAACAGCATCACCCAGGATTCGGCAGACGCGATTTGTAAATTGCGCAGGCCCCGCTTGCAGGAGCAGGGGGCGATCGGTAGCGAGTCGGCTTCCTCAGACGACCCGAGTCGGGCATTTTGGTGAGAGTGAGCTCTTGAGACGCAGACAAGTCAGGATGAGCTGCAGACTGCAGAACACATGTCATGATTTGACGCAGACTTGTCAGATTCAGCTGTGGTTCAATTCATGTTTCTTGAGTGAAGCGATCTGAGCTGCATTGAGTGATCACCGAGTCCATGACTGTTTACTGTGACCTAATCAGAGTGTCCCCGGCGACGGGCTCAGCGATCGGTCATGGAGTTGCCAACCGGAGTGAGTGAGGAAGCTGCGCTGAAGTATCTGTCAACGGACATTGGCTCACCGACTTGTGCCACCTCTACGGCTTTAGCTCGCTTGAGCCTTGCGACCCCGACTTCATCATGAAGGTGGTTCGCCGGCTTCAGCCGCTGTGCGTCGTGCTGCCAGGGTTCTTCGCCGCTGGATGCCATCCGCTACCGTCAGTGTCTGCAAGCCTGCTCACACCAGGTGTGCTCAGAACAGAGCAATGGCAGCCCATGTCTGGGAAGCGCAGGCCGGCCATCCTTTGGCCGGGAGCGCCAGCTGGATCACCAATTCGTCGCGTTAGCTCGGTCTCTGTCTCCGAGTTCGGGCTCGGATCAAAAGGTGTTCTGCAAGGACGCAAGCCCAGCCCCTTCAAGTGCTGGCAGTGCTGGGCGAGATGGTTTTACAGATGTCGTTCTCCAGGGAGTCTTGCAAGAGGCAAAGGTTTCTTCAGCCGCTTTGCGATCGAGGTGCACGAGGTGGGCGAGGCGAGCCCGAACCTGAGGCCCGCTTCGTGAACACCCACAACTCCACAACAGGCCTTTTGCGAGCTGAGCTCAGCAAGGTGCAGGCTGCCTGACCGCCGCAAGCACGCCACTTGCTGCAGGAGTCTCCCTACGTGCAACGTGGCACGGCCCTCAGGTTAAATAACGGAGACTTTGAGCTCGAGGCCGAGGACCAGGGTAAGGCGAGTTTTCCAAAGCAAAGGTTTATCAGTTTAAAGATTAATGCGGCGAGCGTTACCATCTTCTTCTACGGCAAGCAAGGCCAAGACGAGGGCGAGGGCATGCGTGACCGACCTGCTCGAGACTAGTTGGCGGGAAGATATTCCGCCTGGGGTGAACGGCCAACGGCGACGCCGAGATTGGTTTGAAGGCAAGGTTGACGCCAAACTTCAGGCATCACTCGCGTGGCCGCCGCGTGGCTCCACGTGAACATGGGGCATGCCCCTCGAGCAGAACTCGTCCTTGACATGAACACCCTTCTGAAGGCCATCCTCGAGATGTGGTACCGGCCGCTGGGCATGCCTTTGAAGTGTCGGTGCGACCTTGCTACGCGATGCAATGAGCCTGATGATTTCGCCCCGACAACAAGCGCTACGACAGGAGATCCTCAGGGCCGATGCCTTGAAAGCCTAGGGCCTTGGCCGAACACACGGCCAGCAGCCAAGACAACCCGTCGTTTTTTGGCAATGGTCTGGGCACTCGCACCAGCACACGTTCGTCATTTCGACCCGGGCGGGAAGAGCCTGGCTGCAGATCAACACAACAACCATCAAGATCGCAGTTACGGACAGCTTGCAGATGGGAATCCTCGTGCCCCAGCCAGGATGACATTCGGGTTTTAAAGGATGCGGAGGAAGTTCTTCCCCGTCGGCAGCACCGGCCAACGAGGACCCGAGCTATATGCCACGGCGCCAGGAGCTGAAGCAGCTGGACCGAGAGATACCGTGGGCCGAGCTGATGAAGCTGCCGAAGCAGAACCTCGAGAAGTATTTGGACGCTGTTCGTGATGAACAAGACAACTGGATGACTGGATGAGATGGGGCGGCGTCCGGCCTTTGACCAGCAGAGAAGCGCGGCAAGTGTTCGCCGACAAGAAGATGAAGATGTCCCGAAGAATCCTTCGCAGCCGTGCCGCCTACCGCGACGAAAAGAAAGGCTTGGGCGAGATCCGCGCCAAGTGCGGAGTGGTGCGGACACGTTCCAATTGTCCAGGGACAGCCCGACTCATTCGAGGTGGTGGCCGGAGCCAACGCCGAAGTCAGACGCCTTAAGTCGGCTTCCTGGCAGGGCGAAAGGAACCATGAAGAGCGGCCCAAGGACCCCCTGATGGTTAGCCGCCGGCTACGAGGTTGTGGGAAACTGCTTCGGCCTCCCGGGCGCACCGAGGTTTTGGAACAAGAAGGTCCGCAAGCATCTGACGCAGAAAGGTTTACGCAACATGGGTTTGACAAGTGCCTTTATTAATTTGCTGACGAACGGGGCCGTCTCCGGGCGCTATGATGTCACGTGGATGATTTCTTGTGCACTTTTCACCAGGACTTCGATGAGGGCATCCTGCGTGACGTTTTCGTGTGGGGCTCGGTTACTACAGTGTCGAGCCCGGCGCTCCTTGAACGTTTCGCGGCACGGAAATCTCCAAAGTCGAGCGCGGGAGCAAGTTCATTTATAAGGTGACCCAGGAGGCCTTCATCGGGGGCATGTCCGCTCCGGAGGAGTGGAAGGAGTTCAGAAGCGTGTCAGGTTCCTTGCAGTGGCGTGGCTGCCTTCGCAGACGAGGCCGGAGGTGTCACCGATAGCGAGCCTTTCGACCAAGGAAGCTGCAAATTTCTTTACGGACCTCCGCCAGACTCTACGAGACGGTCGACTACCTGAAAGCCACAAAAGGAGACGGCTTGAGCTGCCACGCCATTCCGGTGAACGCGGCCTCCCTTCTCGTGACCTACGCCGGCTCGTCGTGGGCCAACGCAGGGCTGAAGTCTCAGTACGGGGTCCGGGTGCTACTGACAACGCCCCAGACCTCCGAGATCGAGGCGATCGACTGGAAGTCGGGCCGGACCACCCCGGTTTGCAGAAGCACGTTGGTGGGAGAGGTTTCGGCAGCGGATGAGGGCGCAGACAGGCGGTGTGTGAGGTGATCTACGGCGCGCCCGCATACCAGGTCGCTTGCAAGCTCAACCGCACACATGTGGTGGATGCTGCTAAGGCTGCTACTGTAAGAGTCTTTATGACTGTATGGTGGCCGAAAACCCGAGCGTGAGCGATAAGCGCTCTTTGGTGAACATACGGTCGGTGCAAGAAACCGTCAATCCTAAGGACGTTCACGGGGTACCCACGCGGCTGATGCACGCCGACGGGTTGACGAAGCTGGACAGCAACCTTTTGTTGCAGATGTCCGAATGGCCCAGAGAGCTCGGTGAGCCAAAAGAAAATGTTACGAGCGTGAAAGTTTGCACTCTGAGCGCGTAACCTCCCTTTCCTTTATGGCCATTGGCGCCGTTGCGCCTTGACTTTCGCTTAGCAGAGAAACCTGGGCCCTTTTTGATCCGCACTTGTTGTTGCTTGCTTTTCAAGCCAAGCACATAGCAGTGTAAGAAGAACAACCAACCCCTTGTCCAACTCGATGTGGGCTGCAGGTGACTGCACAACTGAGCAACGAGGAGCGCGCCTTCCTGCAAGTGTTGGAGGAGACAATTACCGCGCGCATGAGGCCACGCCACCCCAGGCCCAGGTCTGCGAGTTTCTGTGTTGCTGGCGCAGGGCGGAAGATTCCTGCCGTCCTGAGCTTAGCCGGCTTAGCCCGTCTTAGCTGCTTGAGCTCCTTGCTCTGACTCCGACGTCTGGTCTCTTGCGGCCTGGTCTCTCCTCAATCGCGGGTGGGTTGAAGGCCCCAGTCTTCGTGTCATGTGCATGGCGCTGGGCCTAGACAACAGTTTATGGCTTTCGGCTTTCTCGGTCCTCCACAGCCAGGGTCGTTTTGATGATTCTACAACGAGTCCTTGACACGGGCTTATTGAGGTCGCCCCACAAACCCCGGCTATCTAGTGACTGTATACGTTTTTTGTAATTATTGTACTAGTAACAATGGTCCTTTCACCATTCTGCCAAGGCTGGGGGTTGCTGGGGCGACGTGCTGTCACCCTTCGAAGCATGGAGTGGCCTGCCGTTTTGTAAATGGCTGAACTCCTGTCTTTGCCTGGCGAGACCCACCGCACTTGGTTGCTCAGCCAGCAGTCCGAGGTACCACGCCTACGAGGATGGTGGTTCTGTGATGGATCCTGAACATCGGGAATCCTGGCAACATGCCCTTGCCGCGGTTTGAGCTTGGACAACCCAGTTCCAATCAGGAGTGTCTGCTGGAATGTATGTGCAGTTGACATGCGGCAACACACACACAGACACGAACAAGCACGCAGATCTTTGTTGTGCGTGAGAGAGCTGTAGTAGGAGTGATCGATGTTCTGGAGTGTCAATCGTGTTCCCACCAGGTGCTCCTGGAGTGGTTCTTGCAATGCTAGGTGCTCTTTCATTGTTTGGGGTTTACCCAGGCATCATTTTAGACTTCAGTTCGTACAAACCATATAAGTAAATAAGCTTTTGTCATCAGTGTTCAGTTTTCATCCGTATCTTCGTTGTTGCCATTATGGTGCTTATGGTCATGATTAGCATCGTGAGCATCGACTACAAAATCATCGTCATCTGTGAAAGGTCTCTATTGATTCTTTTCTTTTCGCAGACTGTTGACATCGGCCGATAGTGAGTACTCGACCGTTGAATCGCGATGTTTGAATCGCGATGTCGCGCAAATCATGAATTCTCTGTGGTAGAAGGAACTTGGTTTTCCCCAACAAGTCGTCATTGGACACCTCGTATTGGTCGCATTGGGTCCAGGTGAGACATAAGCGAAGGTAGGCTTCTCTGCAGCTAAATGTTGTGGCGAAGACCAAGCCCATTGCGAAGGTGTTTGGTACAATTGCATCGACAAGTATTGCCGTTGCCTTTGGTGTCACAGAAACAGATGTGCAGCAGTACGACACGATGCTGCGCCCTGTGGCCCATGCCTTCATTTTTTTCAAAAGACCCAGCCCTTCAGCAGCTCGCAATCCGTCAGCTCCCACGTTTCTCTCTGCAAATCAGCATGCTCCATTTTACGATGTGTAGATATGTGTAGTACACAGGCATCCAGGCATCAGAACACCAACAAAAAAAGCCAAACGCTTCCGCTACATGTCTGAGAATCCTTCTTGACGTGGAAATCAGTAGATGAATCAGCAAGCTGCATCCGTGGATCCAACGATAGTGTTCATTCCCAGTGGCCGCTGGTGCGAGAGCAGGTCCGGAAAGGCTCGTTTGTGTTGCTGCCAAACGACTCTGACCTTGCGTACCCATGGATGACCAGGCTCAGTGAAGACTTGCTCTTACGGAAATTGAACAGTAACCAGCGCAAAACGGCAGCAAAGCATTCGACGCAACATCGAAATGGCGGAGTCGGCAGGTCGCTGTAGAAACTGCCAAAAGAAACTGACACATTGCGCGACGTCAGCACTGTTCAGACAGCCAAGCAACCCGACGGCCGTAACACAGAGCCTGAACATCTGGCAAGGTGCACAGCCGTGGAAAGTTGTTTTCTTGGGCATCTTGCTTCAAAAGCTCATAGCCTATTCACTTTGCTTTCGTTGAGCATATTCTCAGCTGCTTTTTCAGAGCTTGCAAAGGTTGTTGATCACCTGCATGAACTGGAACAGACAGGAGGAAAAGGACACGGCGGAGGAGGAGGAGGAGGAGGAGGTACCGACAGGGATTCTGGATTGACCGACTATCGGGATCCAGGAAACTGCACAGGTGACTCTGGTGGACGTGACCTTGCTGGTTGCCAGGTACCATTTGGAGGTGTCGAGGGCTAGGAAGGAGTCCTTGACACTGAGGCAGACGGTTTCGCAATCACCATAGGATTCACAGTAACGCTACAAGAAGGCTGCTTCATGCTCACCACAGCTTTCGCCGGAACACTGGAAGGTCTGTTTGCATAACTCCGCCTCACAGCTCAGTGCACGGAAACTGCTGAAACAGGTGATGCTTCACGTTCTGCCTTGGGAATCCACAGAAGAAAAGCACTGCTCGGTCGGGGCAGTGGTGCGGGAGATTCCTCCGAAATCTCTTCAATCAACGGGGCTGCTTGGTAACACATGCGCTGTCGTCATCTCTGGAAGCGCTTGGTGGTCACAGTTCTTTAGAACACTGCACCAGACATGAAATTTATACATGTTTGCAAAGCCTTCTCTTCATATCGTCACCTGCCAACAGATGCCAACATCTGGCGAGTGAGTTGCCAACAGGCGGACTCCCTCAGGTATCGCTGCCACTGGCAGAGCGGCTACGGGGTCGGCCGTTGACAGAACGCACACCCAGCGAGACTTTGCAAAGCGACGGCTGAACCGCATGCGATGCCAGATCAGGTGCCATACCAACTCATGCCAACACTTCCTTGAGACCTTCCACCTGATGCCACTTGAAATCATCAGGTGCCATCACTTGCAGGCAAATTCTCACACACCCCGGCTTCCCTCTCCGATGCATAGCTTGGTTGGGTCCGGTAGTCATCAAAGAGCCGAACCGCCTGCTTGTTCTTCCAAACATCCCGCGTGGTCTCGGGTCTCACACACACGCATAAGCAAGCAAACGCGCATCAAGTAATCCTTCCTCCCTAAGATGGGCCCGAATATAATCGCCGCTTTCCGCGCCCACAATATCAAAGATTCGATGCTAGATTGCACCCACGTAGCCGAGGATGATGGCTCCCTGTTGACAATTTCCGTCCTCCTTTCAAGGCACTGGACGCAATGGGGGATGCTCGGATCGGTCTCTGCATCTCCTCTGCCGCCGCCACTTTCCAAAGCACCCACCACTGCTTGCAGCCCCTGTTGAGCTGCTGTGCTTTGGCAGGCGAAGCAGCTTTGAAGGCGGTATCTTCAATACGTTTCTGGAAGATTCTCGAGTGGAACACTGCCTGGACATTGGAGACGCAGCCAAGCCCTCAATAGAACGGCAGAGCGTGCTCAAGTTACACATGCAACGATGAGTCTGGGGGAAGCTACAAAATCTGTGCTGTGGTTATCAGCGCACAGGTCCTGTTCGTCTCCGAGAAGCGTCACAACGTCCCGGACCCGATTGCCGTCTGAGCGCCGCTGCAGTGTAGAATGACACCCAGTGTACTAAGTTTGCCATCTCTGTACATGGCACAGCAACAGGTCAGTCTTCATGTAAGCAGGAACATCGACAAGTTGTCCTGATTCGTCGGCGGCATGGCAAGGTCAGCCCAGTCATGGGTCAGCGCCAAGCCCTGGTCCTGGAGCTTTGGGACGGGCATGACCCTCACAAAGGGGATGCCTGCAGTTTTTGGTACGAGATCGAAGAAGCCGCAAGCATCACATGCCATCGAGGCTGCGAAATCATCGCGGCCGGCACGATTGACATCCAACAGTCTGCTATCCGAAGCTGTGGACAAAAAGCTCTTTACCCTGCCCCGTTCTCTAGGCTCTGGTTCCTTGATTCTGAACTGCGCAGCTGCGCGCTCTCTTGAAGTCTTTGGCATTTTGCTGTGAAGGACATATGAGGCGGAATCCAAAGCACGGGAGGCAAAAGAAATGGAGGACTGCATGCCACAAGCACTGCCTGTCTAGCATTTCGATCGCTGCCTTTACCTCTGTGCCTATTTTTGTGGCATGGAAGTGTTTGCTGACAGCACGTCCTGGAAAAGCTCTCCAGGAGAAGGTGCTTCAAGCGCAGGGCCTCAAGCCAGGCCACTGCCTTTGTCGGGGCTGCACCACGCACGAGCGGCGAAAGCATGTGCCACGGCAGTGCTGATTTCGAGCTTGACACACCAAGCCCCAGCTTGACTGCAGAACCCGTGGTACGACCGATGACAGAACAAACACTTCGGACAGACGGTTCGAATCTGAGTTTCTGAGATGCCACTGCTGGGTCTCTATTGTGTCATGCTGCTTTGTTGCATGGCGACCATGGAGATCCAGGAACGCTCTTTGTGGAATTGAGTCCTGAACATGCATGTCGTTCAAAGAGCCAGATGCAGAGGCAAAGCCGACGGTCCCGCTCCGGGTCCAGAGGCATAAAGAGCGTGGTCTATTCGGGATCTGGATGATACACGGGTTGTGGCTTTTTTCGAAACATGACATCAGAACATGCGCACACAGCACGACCTCACTTTGTTCTCCTGAAAATCATCCCCCTGCGCAAGGCAGGACCATAGAATAGAAACCATTTCAGACCTCACAAGAGGTTAGTGCTGACAGGCCTGCACTGAAACAGCGAATCAAGTTGACACCGGAAACAGATACATCAGGCATAAGTTGCTGAGTCCCAGTGAGTAAACTGCGACGTAGTTTTTGCGAACTCAGGTTGCGAGGAGGTCAATCGCATGCTGCACTCCATTGCTACAGAGGTGGTCGACAACCTCAGCTTTGAAGATGGCTCACTGCACGTCACTGACGTGAACATGCGTGAACCTTGTCACGCAGCGAGGCTGATGTGCCAGCCGTGGGAAGCGACAAGAAGCTTCCTCCGAGCTACCAGAGTCACTGTGGCATGGTTGGAAGACAATCAGGTTTCGTACGCGCGAATGTCACGGCCTATCAGCTGCCTGCAGCAGAGACGTGGTCTCTGAGACCATCGGGCCGCTTACCTTCTTTGACATTTGAGATCCACGACAGGAGAGTGTACATCATGATGTTACACACTCGAAACTCTTCGTGGCTGCGCTACAGGTGATTCTGGCGAGGTCGAATTCTGAGCTGTCCTGTGTTGGCGTTGGAGTCAGGAAACTTGCAGCAAGGCAAGGTAGCAATTGCGAGTTTGGCACGTGTCAGGGCTATACGAGGTACAGGGAGGACACTTGTGAGGGCCCAGTAGACGGGCATTATGTGCCGCATAGTCTTATACGCTCAAGAGATTGTTGTACGCTTAAGAGTAATGTTTCGCGGTATGAGCTCTCACGACAATTCTTTCCTGTGTGCGTTGAACCCAATATGTGTATGTGTGTTGTTGCTTGTGCCTGCGGCTGGTAAAAGCATTGCTTGTTCTGTCGTTGTCAGAAACGCGAACACAACATCAGCACATACCAACACTAGGGGGGAGGGGGGGTCGAGGATGGTCGAGGGGTCTCCCAACATCAAGCAACCACTTCCCTCCACTCCCCCGACTCCCTCACCTCCACAAAGCAAACGCAGAAAGACCCAACGCCCAATCCCACACCAACACCAACCTCAAGGTCCCATTATCCAATGAAGCCTGAAGCAAGCCCCACACGCCCGCGACTTTCTCAACGTGTCGGCTTTGGTGATTCTGTGACTCAGACCACGACCTTGTTTGAGAGCCAGTGTTTAAGGTGCTTCTGCTTCTGGGAAGCATTTTTTTGCGGTCCGTGGTTCACCAAGCCTTGTTTATAAACAATTGATACATGGCTTACTTACGTGGAAGAGCGCCAGATGTATCCGTGTGATTCTTCCTGTGGGCGGGTCGCGAGACGGGGTGCGGTGCGGCATGTTTACCGGGGAGGTCGCGATACAGGGCGTGTTCCAGCGAGGGCGGGTCGCGATACGGGGTGCTGAACGTGTTCCAGCCAGTGGTGTGCGACAGACAGGGCGCAGCGCGGTGTGTTCCATCGGGGATATACGGTGTGCAGCACGGCATGCGGAGGGTTCCACCGGCGCATGGAAGTCGCGAATACGGGCTGCGACGCAAGCCAGGGCAGAGTTTTACCGGGTGGGTCGCGATAAGGGCCGTTGAACTACGCTACAATGCCGCTACAATTGAACAAACAACGCTCGGGTCATTGCTCGCGAGATTTGCTTTGTGGATGGTTTTTGGGTTCCCGGGTTGACGTTGTTTGTTGAAGTCACTTAATTTGTCGACATCCAATCTTTTGGTCTGATATATAAAGTCATACTTCGAATCCTGAGCACATTTCGAAGTAATTAACCTGAGTCAGTGCTTGAATGCTCTCAAAAATTCAAGCATTGCATGCGGAAGCAGATGATGCATTGTGTTCTGGTGTTGGGTGGCCAGATGGAAAAATTCTTGCAGGGGTAAAATGTACGGATCCACGATGAGGGACATGTCGAGTTTGCGTGGCCCGCACTGGGGGTATTTACGGTTGGTTTCTGTGGGAAGAACCCTGAATAAGTAACCAGTCAATATAGCAGTACCTGTTGACGTCTGACTTCATGAGGTGCTGCTCAGGGCGTATACCGGGCCCCAGCCGGACTGTTCCTTATCGGGTTCGAACACTGCTTTCTGACGGGCTTTTTTGGAGAAGCAGGAATAAGCAGCAAATCATGTTTGACCCCGAAACGGGCTTGTTTATGTGTTTGTTTTTTTCATTTTCATGTTCTTGATGCCAATGCAACCGGAGCCCTTTCGTTGCTGTGTTCTCAATGCCAATGCATGAGTCTCGGACCAATTGGCAATTGAATCGCTGCTAACAGTTTCAGGCGGGCCTTATTTGGAGTATGTTTGGGCCTTGTTTTGTTTTGTGGGGCTCGCTCCCGTTCCGTAGGTCTGCCTTGTCTCTTAGGTGCCTTGACCGCTAAGCCTAGATCAAACCTCTGCGATCCCCCGCTATTCCAGCATTATTTTCCAGAAGCATTCCGGATGACCAGGTCCTCGAGGCTCCGACGAGGGGCCCTGTAGACAAGGGCCCTGTGTAGATTTTCATGATGACTATGCACAGGTTGAACCTGACCGTGAACACGTACATTACTTCGGGGTATTAGTGAATGCTATTGCTTTCTGCCCATCAGCTTTGACAAGCGATCTAGTTCGTAACAAAGCATCTGCCCTCACAACAGCCCACTCCCAGTAATGCGAATCAGGATAGGTCATTATAGGTCACTCATTCCAAATGCTGGTGTACATGATATTTGTCTGTATTCAGTGTGTATGTTCGTTAGTGTGTGAGTGTATACATATATATATATACATGCACAAGATGAAAAATATAGCCATACACATATTTACACATACATGTCTCGGTCGCTTCCCGGCCAGGACCAAAGATTCGTTAAACCTAGAGCTATCCAGGGGGCTCTGCATCCTTGCGCACAAGGGTTGTGAGCTTCAAGTGAACAGACAGACAAGGGCAGACTTTTCTCCGTCCCCTCGCAAAGTTCAGACCGGCGACCACGTGGCAGATGATTCCTTGCTAAAAGTTCGAAATGGCCAAGATGCTCCGGAGGAAGGAGCCGATCAATGTAGTTGCCCAGTCGCTTTCAAAACTCAAAAGACATCTCTCCGACGTCTGTCCGGTGAACTACATTGCCCTGCGCAAAGAGGTGCGATGAGCTGCGTCGATTGATCATAGTCCGATTTAACAAGGCTCCGAGCTGCCGGAGATGCATGCTCAAACTTCCGACATCTTCAAACTTTGAGATTAATCCCCGGCCAGTGGAGTCCTGAGTAGGGAATGACTTTGAGGGCGTTCGGCTTCGCCACAACATGCTGAATCGAAGAGATCGTTGCGGTGTTGCTGAGTCCGGTCGAGTCTGCATCGTCGATAATACCCTCCACAATGGATTTTGAACAGTTGTTCAGCTTGAAATCTGCAACATCCAGGGTTTCGAGTTGCTGACAGGCTTGAAGGCTTTTGGAGTTGCAATGGTCCTTAGAAGCACTGCCGGGCGGATGGGTTCCCAACACCCTGATCAGAGATGCTCGATGCTGACACTGTCTGGTTTTTCATAACCCTACATAATGTTCAAAGCTGATTGCCCGACAAGGCTATACTAGACGGGACCGCTTCGGGCTCGGTGTGCAGATTTGTCTGAGGTTGAGTTGTATTGACACCCTACTAAGGCGTAAACAACCCCAACAACAGCCCCCCCATTTTATGCCATCGTCCCTGAAAATGAACGAATCCCTACTAAACCAATGAGGAAAGAGAAAGAGGACTCATTTTGGCGATGCGGCTCTGGGTTTCCAGGAATCAATGAACGATGAAAAGGAAAGCTCTGCTGCCGTCGAAAAGGATTTCAACAAAAAGGCCTCTTCAAAGCAAACGCGCAGCCGCAAGCCGGTAGTCTACTAAGTTACGACTACTGCACCACTACTGCGCAACTTCACGAGGGTTCTATATTTTTCGATAATAGTAGGCGGAAGTCCGGTTGTTGCGCCGAAGATTGACAAGTGTCACATGTCAACAGTCAGCAGCAGCGAGCAGCGCATCAACAGCGTGCATACGCAGAGTTGAGGCTTCGCCTTCCAAGTCGCCTGTTTCGCCTGGTCTTGCAGTGAGGAGACACGCAAATTGCTGCACTCGTTGCACTCTGTACCGTAAGACCTACACAGGAGTCAAACCGAGACGCGCCTGCAGTGGCGCAATAAGATGGACAACTCGCTCCGGTTGGAGCCTCGTTGGCTCCCTCCGGGCAACAACCAGAGCGAAGAGAGCTGCAGCAGTGGCAGCAGCTGTTTGGAGGCGCCTGATGTTGAACATGGAGTTGGATGGTGACGAACGCCTCAGGGAGCGATGCGAGTGGTCTCATGTGCAAGCAAGCTGTGATGCTGCAAAGACGTCAGGACTTCGCGCACCAAGCCCACAACTTAGAAACGACCTCCTGACTGGTCTCCAGTCAGTACATACGCGAAACCTGCCGATGCAAGCTTGAAGACATCTGACCTTCTTCGTCGGCATTCAACCGGACTTCTTAGGCGCGGTGCAACCACCTCGACAAGATCTTTGATTCTCGCCCTCTTTCGAGCCAACTTTTGTCACAGACGCACCAGCTTCCCAGCTTCTTGTCATGTGGCTTTGCTCGAGGACTGGTACACCACCCACGGGGGCAAGGAGGTACGCAAGGACGCCCGAGCTGGGTGTGAGTGTACAATCAAAGTTCTTGTGCCACTCGTCTGACTCGGCCTGTGGCACAAGGAGGCTCAGAGAGCCACGGCTCCTGCTTTCGCTGACGGCTTAGAGCACCAACGGCTTCGGTCCGGTTGGGATTCAAGCTACCTGCCCAGAGGTTCGCTACAACCAGGACGGTCCCGTAATGCCCGGTTCGCTGCGCGTGCCCAAAACGTCCGAGACTCGATTCAACGACCAAGGGCATGGCAGCCTGGCGCTACAAGATGCTACAAGTTTGCCACACTTAGACAATTGGAAGACATGAGTCCGGAAGCCATCAGAGCCCGGCGTCGGGGAGCGCTCAGGCCAAAGCTCGACAAGCAGAAGGCCGCTGTAACGCCGCCCGATGCACATCCGACTTGGGGCCCGGGCCTGGGGCCCGGCCAGGCACCCGCGAAGAAGGACGTGGCGCTGCCCGGTCTTTCTCGTGGCGTCTCCTCTCCAGCTCTCGTCGCAACTTGCAGCAGTTATGGGCAGCGCAACATCGCGACATGCAAGCTTGCTTGACTGCAGGAAAAAACGCCACAGAACACAAATCTAACCTGCAGATGGGTCAAGATGTTTTGCGGGCTTGAATACTCATCATTGCTAAGGCTGCAGGTACCTTGAATGTGGAGAGTCCTGCCAATTCTCCGTGCCCATCGCCTAAGGCACATGCTCAATTTCGAGTTGGGACCTAAGAAGACGTGCGAGCGCTTGGGTAGAGCTCTGTGAGCAGGCGAAGGCAGCGAGATGACGCCAGAGTCTCAGGAAGGTTGCGCCAAGCTTGGGACGGCCAGGGCAGTACCGATTAGATTACATGCAGCTCGGCCGCTGTGCAGGTGCACAGCGCAACTTTTCTGAGTTGCACCCCTTTTGCGAACTCATAGCATATAGGACTTGCTGCAAGCCTAGACGTTGGTCAACATTGGTGAAGCTGCTTGCTGCCCTCCTTGCAATTGGCAGTCTACAGACACAGGATTCGAGAGCGTGTATTTAGGGATGAGTGTCGGGGGACAGGCACAACATGCTGCACGGCCACCGATGCATGGTCGCGCAGACTTGTCCGTGCAGATCAGAAACCTGACTGCGCATGGTGCCCCGATGTCGTTAATATGGGTGGGAATTTCACAGTAGATGGATCTGTTCATAGTCAAGTTGTCAGATGCACCTCTGGAGTGCGGTTCAAAGTGTGATTGGGAGTGTCACCTACCCCAGAAAGTGTTTATTGCCGGGCTTCCTGCGGCTCACCAAGAATTGGTGCGAGTTCGCATAGCGGCTGGCTCTTTCTGGCAATCTTTAATGTTTGGAGGCCGACAGCTAGTTGGGCCCTTCCGCCCTCAGCACGAATTGCGATAGCACGGTGCAGGAATGGCCACAACTAGCCTAGCGCTCCGCCTCTCTGTCGGAAGCCTCTGCAAGCTGACGCGACTCGATGTGACGGTGCCCCATTGAATCCCACGCGTGATACAAGGTTTTGAATGTGGCACCTCGTCAAAGTCTGAGACATCCTGCGGCGGCAACTCCGGAGATTTTGGAACTTATGCGGGCATTTCTGGGGATGGAGACAAGCGTAACGTGATGGGAAACCCAAAAGACTCTTCTTTGTTACCTCCAGTCTCCAGTTGCTAGATCTGCCCCTTTTTGGTGATACAAATTCGTACCATGCAGGCCAGCAGCCTCTCGTCCGGTGTGAGGCGCACGGGGAAAAGTGGACCCCCAAATTGAATCTTGACACTAAGTATTCAACCCTCCTGGATCCTTCAGAAATGCAATCAAGCCTCCCGTCTTTTCGTCTACCAGAACTGCTGTATCTATTCTGGAGCCTTGCCTGTGTTCCCGAATGGCCTTAGGGTTTGGGCCAAAGGCCATGGGTTCAACCATGGCAAGCAGTGGTTCAACATCACATGCATGACGAAGTCTTCCAGACCTACGACAATCGAAGCATTGCACACGTAAGCTGGAATACGCTTGAATCATGCAAGGCGACACTTTGTAGAAGCTCTGCAGTCTTTTGCTGATGGCTCTTGCACGACTCCGGCATACATGGCCTCTGCTCTGTTACCCTGTCCTCACCCAGGCCAAACAAAGAGCGATGTCTGCAAGCAAGGCGAGTCATCCCATGTCTCACAGGCATACCTGGCAAAGTCGATGGACACACTGAAGGCAGAGTAGCTACCTGAAACGGGTTGAAGCGGGAACTCGACTGATCTTCTCGGTCCAGCTGAGAAATAACGCAAGGACAAAGCTCCTCCGATTCCACTCGTTCTACTTCAGCAGGCTTTTGGAGCAAGATCTTGAATCGCAGACTGCAGATGCAGTGGTCACACCTTGCAGCCTTTGTTTGGCATCCTAAACCTGTCGTTTGTGAGGCCGGTGTGCTTCACTCGAGCAAGCAGAACCTTGCCACGCGGGAGGCTTCTGACTGTGACGCATTGCTAGGGGTAAGTTAGGGAGGCAGGAAGCGCCACTGCCGAGCTTCCTCTGACATTTTTGACACGTGAGTTCCTGACAGCTTGTGCGAAACCAGTCATTCCATAGATTGATCTGTGGTCCATCTGCGGGTGGGATGAGAGGCGGGCGGAGAGCTGGGCACGAGCGTTGGGAGGTGGATGAAATCTGACCCTTTCATGCAAGCCTTGTCCACTAATGCAGCACGTAGCAGGCATCATAATAGGCATCAGTCCTCTCCACAACTGAGCGAGTGGGAAATGCTGCATCATCCCGAGAAGACCTTTGAAAGCTTCGGTAGAACAGTGGTTTGCCAGCATTCCTGCATTCCTGTCAACTCTGATTTTTTGGAAGTCTTTCAATTCTCTCGCTGGCATGATCTGGCATGGTCTTCTCACTGATTGGTGGCGTGTGTCGGATCCGGCTTGTCCTACCGAAGCATGCGCTGCACCATGTGGCGTGGAAGTGGCAGTAACTGACCGCGGCTTTCAGAGTATCCATGCCATGGAATGAGGTGCCCTCTGACGACCTGGTTCTGGCGTCTCGCATTGAAGGCCCTTCACATGGGACCCCTTCTGTCATATCCCAAAAAGCCTCGCGCGCGACTCTACACCCAAAACAACCCATTCAGCGCTCTTTTTCATTGAAAACCATCCGACTCTGTTTTGCTGAAGAGCTATTCAAGTCTCTGATTCCCCTTCACAACCGAGGTTTTCTCGCCGAGGTCCGGTTACCGAGGTCCAATCTTCCAGATTCCCACAAGCGTGCCCGCGAAATCTAGAAAATCTACAACCTTCGTCTAGTTTTCTATGTTTCGTTGCCAATCTTCGTTTGCTAACTAACGTCCTGCGACATCCTTGTGCCGAGGTCGTCCTGTCGAGGTCCCGTCGCCGAGGTCGTCCCGTAATGCCGTGACCAGGGGCCTGCGAGCAGGGCTGGCTTCCGTCTCGGCAGCTGACGGGTCTCCGGCCCGCAGCTGGACTTCAATTTATCCTGCTTGTTGCCGGAGCATGTGTGGCAGCTGGGGACTGTTTCCTGGCGCACCGCTGGCTTTCTAGTTGCGGCACGCATTGGCGAGACGGCCAGGCTCTCATCGTGGCTTTCCAGCGTGAGCATGCACGCGCAGTGCTGCGACACCTGCCATCGCTCGTGCTACGCGGCCCCCGGCCAAACCGTAAGCAAGCTAGCTGTCCTCTGCCGTCTGTTCGTACCATGCTTTGAATGATGTATATTATGTATAATTATTGATGTTTTGCTGATGAATTTGGCACCTGTCGGTCTTCCACGTTGCATTCGCTCTCGGGTTTGCTCGCTGGGTCTTGTCGCGGGTTGGGGTTTTCAGGGTTATTTGCTTCTGATCGTTTCGTGTCTTGCTTTGTTTCGAGTCCTGGCTTTTCGCCTTGGGTCTGGGGCTTGCGTGTCTGTGAGGCTGGCCCAGGAAGTTCAGGACGGGTTTGAGCACGTCCATCCTCGATCGCGGGATTTGTGCCCACATGCAGCGTTTCCCTGCACCTTTTTTCCATGCACCCTGTACTGCCACATCAACAAAAAAGGAGAGGAGCTTGAGCATCAAAGCGTGAACAGGGCTACCTACTTCGTGGCAGTACAGACGTGGATCCCGGCTAAACTTGCCCGACTGTCCTGTACGTCCTGTGAAAGGGAGTTCAAGCTCAAAAGCAGTTGTATGCACGTCCAACGCACGGGGAAACTGCAACGGGCTTGATGCAAGTCCTGTTGCAGGGCTGGCGCATGTCAGATTTCGGCACTCAGACGGGCCGCAAGACCCTCGGCCTCAGACGCCTTGTTGTGTTCTTCGCGATGCAAACGATCGGTTCAAGGCGAGGTGCAGCATTTGCAGACAAGATACGATCAGCGATGCCTCAATGTCGAGGAGAATGGGAACGTGCTACCTGACAGCAAATTGCAGCCTTTGTCAGTGCTGAATGACAGTAGTTTGCGGGATGAACTCAGACTGGTGCAGACGCAAATTGACCTCAGGTATATGAGTGTTTGTCAGGCGCTTGATCGGCAGTCCTTGGATGCAATAGACCTGCCCGTTCTGAGATTACTCAAGTTCAGTTCACCGGGAAACGATGCCTGTGTTGGTGAGGATGTTCTACTTCGAAGGTTCTCACATAAAGTCCCTCGCCGCGCACTCAATTGATGACCCGTGAGTCACAGCGGTGCCCTAAGCCACATGTCCTTCGAGTTCTTCAACAGAAAGGAGTCCGTGCGCAGAGGCCAGCGACAAGTGCCTTGATTATGACCATTTCAACGGCAACGTGCACATGCTGCCTGGCAGCGATTGCTTGTGCTTTCTTTTGGCGGGAGAAAGGACGTTGTGCAAGAGTCGTCCCAATCTCGATTTTGTACGGATCGAGGTATGCTTGCCACGAGCACGACAACCAGAAGTGGTTCCTGGCCGGAGCTTGGGTGCTGAGTTGAAGGAACTATGGCCATACTGTAGCCGTCATCGTGAAGCTGTTCTCAGACCTGAACATCAACAAAGGTACTTCCAAGGGGAAAGTCTCCGTACCATGTGGGATGATAAATGCATGGCACCTCGGCTGCAAGAAAGGTGGCTTTTCAGGTGGCAACCCTGTAGCCTGTGGCTACGCTAAGGACTACAACTACAACACTCAAAACGTGGCCTGATCGGCACAAGCTGTTGTGCTTTCCGACCATTGCATGTGTGCTGAGAGAGGACAGTGGTGGTGCATGTTCACTTCGCGATGTTTCACCTGATGTCACGAGAGGTATACATGTGGTGGTGCCATGGAGGCAGCAATCAGAAGTGGTTCTTCTCAGAATCGCTTCCAACCGTCACCTCGACTACGGTGCTCGTCAGCGGAAGCACCACCACCACAAGCCTTGATGCGACCACCGCCATCACCAAGGCCACTACCACCACCACATCCACCGCATCGGCCACTGCCAGCACTACCACCAGTACGACCACTACTACCACTACTACCACTACCACATCCACCAATGCCACCACAGCCACCACTACCACCATTGCAACTTTCACTTCTACAGCCATTTCGGCCGCAGACACCACAACCACATTCATTCCGAACGCCAGCACCACACATGGCGATGACGGAACACCAGCAAAGTGCCTCAGATTGCCTCAGAAGGCTGAAGAACTGCAGACTGAGCTTCGAGTAGCGATTCGTGCCTCAAGTACCTCGTGCCGCAGCTCAGGGAGCTTCCGATTTTTGATCGTCCAATCTGCAACGATGGTGCTGTGCCACAGGCACTTTCTCGAGAAGCTTGAGTTGTTCCATAGGGCCATATAGGGTTCGGATGGGCGCTGGCGCAGGTTGAGGGGCATCTGGCCTGGAACAGTCATTGGGTGCTGGATGCAGGCGCTGTCCGTGTCCTTGTGGCCCGCTGCATTTGACACCTGCCGTCAGGCTGCCGTTACGAGGTGTGGGATGCCCGGGCTACAACTACCTGTTTGCAGCTAGCCTCCAATCAGTGCTTCAGCGCTGAGCGATGCTGCGTGCTTGCTAAGGCATGCCAAGACTGCTAAGCAGCGAGATCGCTTTGCATTCTCAGGTCGGGTAGCTGGGTGGTGTTGCAGGCGACGGGACTTTACACTGTTGGCATGGAATGGCTTCAAGCCCTCAGCACTCTGTTTGCAAAGATTTCCATGGGCAGGGAGCATCAAATGGCTTGCTGATGTTCCACACGCTGCTCATGATGTCTGGCTCTCTGTTTGTCACCATGAAGCAGAGACCTGCGCTCGAAAGGATGTCGGACTTCAGTCAGTGTTCACGCCTTGCTGTTTTGGAGCGTGGCCCGAGGCTGACTGCACCATCTACGAACCGCATCCGCTCTGGAAGGTTTGGTGGTCGAGCGGCCACCTAGCTAAATCGGCCAACCTGAGCCGTTCACCTGTGGAGCAATCACCCGGATAATGAAAGCGATGGTGCTTTGCTCGGGGTAACGCTGAGATATGTAGAGATTAGGTTTTTCTCTTGGATGATTTCCAGTGTGCTTACCTCAGCCCGCGCCTTCGCTTGGGTACCGATGCAAACACTGGAAGCCGAAACGAGTGAGCATGTCGCGTGCAACGCACGAAAACACTTCCTGAGATTTTGCGACAAGGCAACTCCGCGAGAGCTTACATTCGCCCTTCTCAATTGTCAAGCAGCGCACCAGCCGTCGGAATGCAGCCCAGTACACGAACCGGCACGGTTGAAATCAATCCAGAAACTGGATGCAAATAAGTAGTGCAGTTCACTCACGTTGTGTGTGGTCAAGGTAAGGGTTTCCAGGGTCATGCAGGGTCTCGGATGGGTGTTCTGCCAACCCTGTACTTTCAGCATATTCCGGTCTACTTTGCTTAATTGCATGCTGCCTGCTTCCATAAACACTTGCGTGCCTCTAAATATGAGCTCAGGTCATCGATGTTTTCATTCAAGACGGGCAGATTCTGGAATACAGTGCGTTACCATCTGTCGGAAATCCGTGTGAAGAAGTCAAGCATCTCGGCATATCTCACGATCAGCATGCGACCGGTGCCACAGAGCCAGACGATCCCGCCAGGCATGGCATCATGGCGGCTGCCGACAACTGCAAGCAGCATGTCTTGAAGCATTGGGCGGGCTTGTCAGAGCACGCTCCGGACGCTCTTCGGCGGCAAAGGGGTCTTCCAAGCTTCCTCATATCCGTCTGCGATTCCGGCACTGTAGCACCGTAAACCGTGCATGGGGCTCAAATTAGCATCGCAATTCGGGTGATGCAGGACGCATCGGTCGAATCCAAGCGAACATATCCATGCCTCCCCAAAAGACCTTACGCAGAAGTCAAAACACCGCCTCGGACCCTACGTGAGCTAGGCCCAGTCCGTAGAACAGATGGAGCTGATGAAGAAGAGCTGCTTGAGCTGCTGCAGGTGGATCCTTCAACGCAGCAGAAACAAAACATGGCAGCAAAGGCATGCTCAGTCACCTCTGAGCCCATGACGCGGTACCTCTTCGCACGACCACGAATCGTAAGCAATCCGTGTTGCAGTGAGTAGCGTGGCCTCGCTTGTTTTTCAACCCCCATCCCGAACTCCGAAACTCAGCTAACTCCATAATCCCGCCAGCCCTAAATAAAGTGCAATGGCCCCAGATCAGCAGTATTTTCTCCGACCTACTGTAGATTCGGTCTGACCTGTAGCCTGCAAGTACGCGCTTGCTCGTCACTCACGATGTCGGAAGGATGCTTGTGTCACGGGAGCATCGTTGGCGCATAGAGACGGGTGCGGCTTGACATGCTGTAATGAAATCTTCGTCGACCTTCAGGGCGTAGGCCGTTGCCACTGTCAACTCGGAGTGACAAAGCTTGAACTCGGTAGCAGAATTCGTGACACCAGCCCACGAAAAAAGTCCAGATTTTGGCTTTGCTCCGCTGCGCTGGGGCTAACCTCCGAGGTGTTGCGCATTACCATCTTTTGCTGGTGGTTCTGGGTACCGACCTGAGCAGGCTGCAGAAGCCTTTTCGATCATGTGTGTTCGCATGAGTTCATGCTTGCTCACTCTGTGGCTCAGGACACAACTCCCCTGATTATCGATTTAGTCGAGGCTGATCAGCACTGGAAAGATGCAGACGTCGCAATGGTCGTCCAGGCGAGATTTCGGGGTTGCTGGAGTGCGTTGTGTACCCTTTCTCCTTCTAAATGGTCCAATCCAGTCTCGTGCTTCGTACGAACCGCAGGGAAGTTCGTCTCCGGGGCAGCAGTTTGCTGAAGTCTTCCATCTCGCCTTTGTGAAGTTCGCCCGGAGACTGCTGCCTAGTGCCACTAGGTGTCAGCCTGGTACACTATTTGCAACTACATCAAGACGCACGAATGCCCACGACAGGACTTCCGTTTGGACAATGTTTGGACAGTGCTTCTTTGCATTCGGCTTTGTCGACATTCGGGAGTAGGACCTGCTCGAGTGCAGCGAAGACGACGCGGCGAGAAGCTTCAACTCCGAGATGCAGTCAGCTCTAGAGAGGCCGGCATCACTGGGGCACGTCAAGACAGAGTGCTCCAGAGGTCTGCACAGCTTTTCAAGCACAGGGATGGCGCAGAAGACCAAGCCAAGAATTCCAGAGCTAAACTGCTTCACCTTTTCCATCCCGAACCTACAAGTGACCTGAAATCCGACAGCCTCCATTGAACTCTGCTGAAGAGCGCAAGAAGAGGTTATCCCTGCGAAGAAGTTGCAGCCCAGTAATCATAGGATCAAGCCGTCGAAACCGAAAACTTGAGTGATCTGAATTCCGCCGGCATGTGGTGCCAGTCCTGCTGGTGAACGTCTGGCTGACTGAGGTTGAAACCTTTCTGCAGTGCTCGAGCTCGACGGCACGGTTGTGTCGTTGGTACGAAGTCGTGGCTGCTCGGCTGATTTCGAATCATTGTTGCCAAGACCTTGCTCCAGGTCCTGCGACAGCACAGAGCCTGCAAGCACTTCTGACTAAGTGCGCAAGTGGATCAAAGCAAGAACATTCAAGGACAGACAGTTTGTAGTCTGCCTGTCAACTGACTGAGGAGTGCTGCCGGCGGTGGTCTTGGTGCATCCTTCGCGCGCTTTGATGCACCTTGACACGCGAGCCCAGTGCAAAACAGATACTCGCCTTGCAGCTGACGACGCGATTATGCATGTTCGCGATGGCGAGGAGCTTGTACGGCAGAGGATGACAGATTTGGATGGGCCTACACGGCTGCGAATGTTCGCCGCTTGCCATCGGAGCATGCTTAATTCTACGTATAGCTTGCATTTGTGTCAACCAGCTTCTGAATGCCACGAGAAGTCTCGGGACTCAGCTGGTCTCCAGCTCAAAACCACGAACCCAAACCGAAAGGCCAACCCGACCTCCAGCAGTGTTCTCCTGTGCGCATCCCGCATGCCTTCAGTTTGCCGTGGTCCCAAAACCCTCAGCCCAAATCCCAAGAGACGAAGCGAAGGAAACCCTAGAGCCCACACCCGATCCCAAACCCAAGAAATCAATGGTACATTGGAATCACGAGAAACATCTAGAAACCCAGTCCTATCAATTCGTCAAGCGTTTGATGTGTTTGCGCATCACCACGTGAATGGAGGACTTTTACAAGTTTGGTGCGGGTATGTGGCCCGGCTGCATGAAGATCATTCAAGGTATCTGCAGATGCATCTGGTACACGCCGTCATTGGCGTTCCAGCGTTGCGTCTTAGGCCAGAGCAAACCATACTGGGTCACGGTTCGCAGATTCTGCATTCGTGGGCCTGGCAAATCATGTTGAACGGCTTCTGCCCTCGAGACGCCGCCGCTTGCAACAGCTAGTTCATGAAGCGGAGAGTGGAGGTCATTTGCTTCTCAAACTGTGTCGTAGTGAGATGCACCACTGCCTTCAGGCCATGAAAGTGTCTGGTCTGACTTTCTCTGGGCCCCTCTGCTCCGCTGCAGAAGTGGATCTGGAGAAATGTCCTGAGTATGCTGATCTGTGTCGCAAATGGGGCAGGTGGGCCTCAGCAAGGTGCAATGAAAGGCTAAGCGGAGCGGGGCCTGTGCACTCGCTGCAGGTGCACGACGTGGATGTGTATGAACAGCATCCCGTGTCAGCTACTGCCATTTGATCTACGCACCTTCAATGCAGCTGCCACGATTCAAAGCTCTTCTGGAGCCTGGCCACTGGGCAGCAGATGAAAGTTCCAGGGCCGGACGAAGCTGGAGATCGTTTGGCTGGCAGCAAAACGATGATCCGACTATTCCTCAAAGATGACAGCTCGCGACATGCCGAAGAGAAATCCCCGCAGACATCGAGTTCTATGCCCATAGAAAACTCATCAAATCCGAACCGAGTGAACAGCCAGTGCTTCGACTTGACTGCTCCCCAAATCTAAAGGATTTGTCGCCCTAGACTCCGCAGAGCCCTGCAGCTTTACGTGCAAGGTGTTTTTACCATTCTCCACAGACTAGTGCATAGCATAATCGAGGATCCAACGGGCTGAGTAGCTGTGAGCTTTCGCTAGCGGATACCTCAAGACCAAAGCAAGATCTCGAGGTATCCTCACGACGTGTACAGGCGATGCCTGCACAAATACCTGGTAGAAACTACATAGAGACCTCTGGAAACCATGAGAAACCTCTTGAATGTTGCATGCCTTGTAGTTTGCTTGACCAGGTCTTTTCAGTACCTCCGTGTCTGCAGTGTGCCAAAAGTTGGCACCTGTTGCGAGAGTTCCCGCAGGTACGCATTGCATGCCACACATGGTGTACAGGCAACGCGGCTTGCAGTGATGCACGCTGACGCGCACAGTACAGTTTCAAGGGTGGACTGGAAGTGTTTGTAAACTGTTTGACCTTAGCGTGCCTCTTCCTCGCGACCTGGACAGCAGGCTGGATGAAGAGGCGTGCGCTGCAAGCAGTGAAAAAGCCGTGCATTCAAGACGACGCATCTACTTGGAGATACTTGGCAAGGGGCTTGCTTCCTGCACGGAATGTCGCATAAGTGTCTAGGGAATTCGAGGGATGCAAGCCACACATGCCCTTCAAGCAGATTCGCACAGAAGACACAAGTGTGTTTAAGGCACCATTCCAGCGACACGTGACTACCAACAAGCGTCTTCGCACACCTTAACGTTAAAGTGGCCTAACATACACAGTCTGAGAGTCATTGCTGCATACCGCTCATCAACCTCGACAGCAACCAATGCGCATTCTCTCAATGCTTTGGGCTGGAGCAGCGTCCAGTTTAGCTTGACGACGATCTTCGGCCACGGTGGGAAACGGCTGCTTGTTAGAAATGCTTCGTATCTTTCCCTCAGCAACTTCGCTGTCGCGTTGTCTGCGTGTGCGTGCTGAAGGCATGGCACCGGGAGTGGCAGAACTTGAGAAAATGAGGACAGACTTGCAATGTGCTTCTCGTCAGCTAGAACGCATTGGGAGCATGGCGAGGCTGTCGCCCCGCTTCGTTGCAAAGCTCATGGAAGGCCATCGCTCTTGTGGAGATCTTTCCGGACAAGGAATCAGGAAGCATGACGAAGCGCATGTTCATCCTTTGGAGGCGCCGGAGAAGGCCTTCTCGTGCGCGCCGTCGAGGAGACTCGTCGCCGGGCGTTTTTTATCTGGCAACAACATCCATGGATGTCAGCAGCTAAGCAAGCTGTCGTGTCGTTTGCTGGTCCGCTTGTTGCAAGTCTTGCCAAGTGTTGGCTGCAGCTGGTTTCCGCAGAAGCTTTGCAGCAAGCATAAACAAAGCCCGGAAAAGAAGGCTTGGCTTGGCTTTACACTAGCTTGAGTAAAACGGTCGTTGATGCTTACAATTGCAGTCCCTCCTTCTTCTTCAGCCATTTTTCACCAAATACGAGCGCCTCCTGGCCTTCGATTTTGGCTCAAGCCGCGAGCGGTTCATGGGAACCTGTCTCCTCGGGGGAGTGCGTGACCGACTACCTGAACGAGATTCTGAGAATTGCAGCATCTTAGCGATGGAGGCACCCTCAGATTCACTGGCCGACGGGGGAAACCCCGGCTTTGAGGGGAACCCAATTTCAGCGCCAGAACAGCGGTGGCGAACCCCAACAACCTCCCCCGTAAACGCCTTTGCCAAGTGGGCGAGGCCCTCACGCTTCAGATGTTGCAAGACACGTAAACAAGGCGCTGTGGGGAACCTGGCGCCCAAGCGTGCGCAGCCCAAGTCGCGCGCGAGGGCAAACAGTAAGCCGAAGCCCAGCCGGTTAGCACGACTTGCGGCCGAAAGGCGACCAGAGAAAAATACAGACAGCATCAGACAGCCAGATTCAAGTTTTCACGCGATTTCGCAGCTTGAGCAGCGCGGCCTCCGCAAGGTTCGCAGCCCAGTTCCCCCATAACCCACAGCAGACACTAACTACCCTGCCCATGGGAAGCCGGTAAGAACAGCAGTCGGACCGAACAATGGACAAGCGGGGCAAGCTCCTTTCGGCTGCTCTCCACGGCATGAGCTCACTTGCGGAACCTGCCATGCAGATTGTTCCGCGTGCTTGTCCCCGCGTCATGCACTCCCCGGAGCCCCCTCATCCACTTGACGTGTTGAGGCCTGCTCCGCTTCGGCTTCAGCCTCAGCTGGTGACGCACGAGTGTAGTTGCCGCCCCCTGCCGGGCGTCCATGACGGCCCTCCTGCAGTGCTGCTTGCTTGCCTTCTTCGCGTGGTTACCGCTGATGATATTAGTCCGGGGGACCACCCCCCAAATTTCACTTCGCCCTTGTATGGCAGCAGCCAACCTGCAGGTTCGGCACGTAATCCGACGGACCCTCCTTGCACCTCCTGCAGATGTCGACACGGGTGGTGACACTTGATGCCGTCCCAGATCCGGACGTTGTACAGGAAACACAACACAGGAGGGTGCCTCCTTGGCAATTCCCCAAACGGTACTGCTGGCGACAGCTCCACAAAAAAAAAAAATGGGCAATGCCCAAAAGCAAGGATACACAGGCTTCCCGCATGTGGGGGATTTCAGCAAGGCGGGCAATAACCAATCGAGTAGCTCCTCTTCCCAAGCACCACCACAGGCATGCCCCTCCTCACAACCGCCACAGCCGATCAGGGGCATGTACCGAAGAGGACTTTACATGGCTACATCGACTTCGATGCTTGCAAACCGGCCTGGAACGCCGTGCAAGCCACTCAACCTGACCCAAGTCTCCTGGAGTGCCTGGGCTCATGCGTACTCCCAGGGTGGAGACCCACCCCACAGGCCGCGGCCGATGGATGTGCAAGCACCAAAGCGGCGATTTTGTAGGACAACGATGGGCAACTGGAAACCGCGATGAGGGCTCAGCCCAGTTCATGGAGCTGGGCACCGAAGTGAGAGCTCAGACGGCAGGGCCTCAGCCCAAGGCCCAGGTATTTTCGGAGCAGGCCGAACTTCAATCGCATGAACCCGAGGCACCCACATGGGGGATGTTGCACCTGCACCCAACAACGAGATGCCGCCTCGCCCAACGACAACTTCACCTCACCAAGCCAAGTGCAAAACTGACGGGGCGTGTCCATTTGGGACAATACGGACTACTCAAGCGCGGGCGTGCCTGGCTAGTTCCTCGCGTCACACTCCCGTGCCGGGGAAGAAGCCTAAGAGGCCAGCTGGATCGGGGAGCCAACGTGTGCGCAACAAGGACACCAAGAATGAAATTGAAAAGAGGTTCTATGCCATCGAAAGAACGACCCAGGGTGATGTGCACCTCTGGAAGCCGCCCTACGAGACTTTGAGCTTGAGTCACCCGTTGTCGGGGAGGCCTCGTGCGGATCACGACCAAAGCCAATCCTTCATGCAGAGTAGTGACCTCAAGCGCCTCCGGCGAGACCTTCCGCAGATTTCTCCGCCGGGGGCTTCATTCGGCAAGCATGGAAGGCGGTCCGCAAGCGGCACAAACTCTACTCGAAAAGATGTATGGCAGATCTCCCCAAAGCCACAGCAACAGGTCCCTGGCGAGGTGACAGGGAGGCCTTGGAAGCAAGAAAAACAACGCCATGGCTGGGCGATGGCCTTTTCAGATGACAGCTGCCGCACTCCCTGGGATTTTGTCCGAAGCCGCACGTATGTCGATGGAGCTCCACGTGTGCAGCGTAAATCGAGCCTTTCAGGAGCCTGCAAACGCGCAGGCTGGCACCGTTTCTCGGAGGAGGATGAGGATGAGCTCATGCCAGCCGCGGGGGCAAACCGCGCGCCCGAAGGCATTGCTCTTGAAGCACTTCAAGCCATGATGGGGGATACTGGCTGGAGAGATCGACCCCAGAAGGTTTTTTCCGACATACTCTATACAGCGAAGCTCCCCAATCAATCTAAAGGGGAATGTAGTGCGCTCCAACGCCTGTGCCCTCGCTCGCGGACGCGGCCCAGTCTTACTGATTTGCCCACTGCCTTCCCGCCGGCCTGGTTTGCCAGCTTTTGTGCCAGACGTCGCTGGTGTGGGGCGAACGCTCTGTATTCTCTTCTTTCCGTACTAGTTCGTAGCCGTAGCCTGGAGTTCGGGCAAACCACGCACTCCGACGGGGTAGAGTTCCGCATGAGGAGGCGACGGTTCGGACTTGATAGTACATCGACATACCGGCTAGGGCGAACGGGCGAACGGGGAGCAGGTTGGTTGTATAGAGCCAGGGCTTGTCTTGCATTATCTTGCATTTGACGTTGGCCCGCGCAAAGGTCCGAGCAAGAGAACTGGCTGGCTGCAGAACAGAGCCTTCTGCGTCCAGCACAAAGCTGGGGCCTAAAACAATGGCTGTGGCTCTCGGTAGTGCTCAGCTTGAGCGATTCTAAGGCAATTCCTTGAAGTTTGAGGCCGCGACACAGACCCAGTGGGAAGAGGAAGGCCAGCACAATTTGAAGGAAGCTTCGCATGGAGCCCCAATCGCAGCTGGGTTCACGGAATCGGCATCGCTGGCTGCATGCGTTTCGGCCACTGCAGGCTCAGACTTGGGGACAGTTGGCCAAACCTCCAGAAGTGACCGAGTCGAGAATGTCGAGATGATTGGGCAGGTATCCGACAGCTTGAAATATCTAACAGCTTCGGTGACGCAGGGACGCCCCGAGACAGGTTTCGATCTGGGGATCACAGGTTTCACGTGCGACGTACAACCATTTGGAAAGGGCTTCCCGACGCATACCGAACGGCCGGAAACATTGTCTTCGTCAAACGCCTCGCGTGAAATGGCTTACAGGGGAGATTGCATCGTGCCTGCACCGTGCAGGGAAGAGAAGACTGCAGTTCACGGCCGAGTTCAAGTCGTTGCTGATTTTACGGACTGTGTCGAAGTTCCTGCATCCGAAGAGTTATCCCCGGCAGTAGCGAGGATGTGCAGCATGCAACGGCTCAACCGAGAAGACTTCATAGCATCTCCATATTGGAAGGCCTTGCAGGGTGACTCGGTGTCGTGGGGACTTCGACAGGAGAACTCCGTACCAAACCTTGCAGATCGCGACAAGGGCTCTCAAACCGAGCGGGGAAAGAGCACTTGTCATGCTCGCAATGCTTCCGCACCGAGATTGGCGGAGGGCGCCGGAGCCGCCAAGAACTCGTCAGATGGAGGACCAGGATCTGCACGCGTGGACGCAGGACGCATGCGTTGGCCTGGCTCCAATGCAGAAGTTCCACCTCTCCCGGCGCCTCCTGAGAATCACCCATTGCTAACTCCCCGAACTGGCGCATGTTCGGTCCGACCCTTTAACGTGCCGAAACTGGCCTTGGCATCCCAGAAATCACGACCACGCGGACTCCAAGCCCGCAAGGCGGGACAGGCGGGACGGGACATGACGAGACCATACACTCTTTGAATTTCATGGGTGGTTCGCAGTGATCGCAGGAGTACGAGTCAGTTAATGGTTGTGTAGGGACAGTTCTCGGTCCAGGAGTTCCTGATCAGTACGCCGCACCTGCCGGGAGAAGTCCAAGGATGAGAGAGCGGATACGCGCAGATGTCAGTACACTTCACTCTCCCCGCTCCCCGCTCCTTCATTGAACTGTACTCTCTTCGTCTTCGAGGACTTCCTCAACTTCCTCAAGCTGTTCCCGGTTCCGGCTCCAGCTCTTCGGCTGACGTCAGCATACCTCAGCTCCGTGTGGCAACAATCCTCCGAAGTCGCCAAGGAAGTGTGAGCCCCAGCCCCAGCAGTTTCTCCGACGGTAGTCTCGATTCCTTGGACATCTACTCCGACTGGGGGCGCGTGGCTTCGCACCTCGTCTCGCAAGTGTCTCGGACATCTTGGGACGACCGTCTTGGGACATGTCATGTGTTCAGGTTGCAGACAACGGCTTCAGGAGTCCAGGAGGCACTGTTCTCAGCAATGCTGAAGCATGCTGAAGCCATGAAAGACCCATCATCGAGACATCTTTGCTTTGTCTCCTTCCAAGCGACGGTGGCTGGACAGACTTCAGACAGGCTGATTTGACTCGGCGAAGCGGGCGATTTAGTTCCGTCCAGATCTCAGCACTGCCGGTGCTTGCGATTGGCGAAAAGATTGCAATCCCGCAAGGCACGCAGCGGCAGTGCTCGCAGCAACTTAGCTTCGAACTCCTGCACAACATGGTAACTCTGTCAATCTGGAGTTTGCAATCTCAGCCAGCGAGCATATACAGTGTCAGTTAAACAGGTGACTTCAGCGTTTGTGGATTGTATGGCTGCGGCGACAAGGCTGAGTCGCAGGTGCTCCGGAAGGTGCTCCAGCTGCAATCATCCAGCCGGTCCATGATCCGCACCTGCGATCCGCGACAATGACCGAGGTGATCCGAGATCTAGAAGAGCGATTGCAGGCTCGCTACGCTTACCGGCTTCTCCGTCTTAGATCCTCCAAAGCCATGGCTGCGTCTGCTTCTGCCGTGCCGCGGTTCGCCGATGTCTTTGGTCTTTAGCCTGGCAGTGTTCCATGAATATGTGGCCGAGTAGTTAGTGAGTAATGTCATGCTCACTGCTGGTGCGATTCTGTCTAGCAACGCAGACCTTGGCCTTCGACCAGAGCTCTGCTACCGTACGAATTTTCAACAACAGTCTCTCACTGATATGATCATCCTTACACCCATCGATCCAAATGCAAATATGCGGATCCAATCCAATCCAGGGAATGGCGGTGTTGCCAATCTAATGTAACACTCCCGAGCCAGAGGTGCCCAAGTTCGCTTTGTAGCATTTTTTGAGCTGTCGACGGGCTCTGCCGCAGCAACGAGCTCAGCATCCCGGCTTGCACCCCCAGCCCTGACCAAATCACTGCAAAACCGTGACACATGCAACGCTTGCTCGTTACTCGCCTTTGTTTCTTAGACTCTGAAGCGGCCAGTAAAGCGAGGGTTGGGGAAGACAACAAGGGGTTTGTTTCGCCCAGAGACCAAGGCGGTTTCAACTTTCAACGCTAGCCATGCCAAGCTCAAGCGAAGGATCCGCATCTGTCAGGCTCAGTCCCAGGAGCTTGAAGCCCTGAAGGCCAAGATCGCGACAGCCCCAGCGACTCGGGCGGATTAGTCACTGCGTTTCTGCATATCATGGCAATCACAGAATCGCCACAGAGCATCCCAGCTTCCAGAAGCAATGCTGTCTAGTCTCGCGATTGACACGAGCCGACAGTTCTTGCATTGCAGACCGTTGGCGCGGCATCGTGAGACCTCTCGCATCCTTTGGATTTGGCAGAGCTTGCATGCTTCACGACCTCGTGCTGCACATGACCTCATGTGTGCCGATGTCGTTTATATATACTTTCTTTTCAACCGCATCTTCCAGCTACGCACGGTCGTGCGGTGCGCAATGGGTGAGTGCGAATTGGTATCTTGAGAGTTGTACTGCACCCGGCATCTTCCTCTTCGAGTTCAATTCGGACCCGCGTAGACGATTTTTGTTTGAAGTGATGCCGCCTAAGGCGACCAGGTCTTCTTGCCAGAGTTGCAAGTTGCCTGGATATAATTGACTGAGCAGTTTATCCACGAAGGAAGCCACGGCTCTTCTGTGGGCACCTCTGAATGCCGGAGACAGCAGATGCAGATGCAATGAGAAAGTGCACTGGCAGGATTGACCCAGAGCTTCATCCCCCGGAAATTCCACTCACTCCCCACCGATGCCCACTCCACGATGTCCTACAGACCTGCAGAGTACCAGGTTAGCGATACAAACTGGTCGTCGATGCGACGACAGAGGTCTTTGGACTAGACATGACTAGACGCTGATGACGGACAGCACAAGTTACTAGTTCCACGCATGGCACGGTTCACCTGCACAGGTTATCAGATAATGATCGGGATAGCTGTCCTGTCGCTTCCAAGGTAGAAGACCTCACCGGACTGGACCTTTCCTCCAAGCTTTTCTCACACGGGAGCTCGTACCGGGGCGTAGAGTGGCCTAGAGTTCCAGCGTTCGTTGGAGAGTTCCGTTGGCCATTGAGCATCAAACGAAGCGGCCACTGGCCATGGCGCGGCTGGGGCGGCTGGCGCTGTGTTTCCTCGTTGGTGCCTGAAGACTGGTCGACGTGTCACGGAAGTGGAGAAATCTGGACAAGCCCGTCTAGGCCCTTTGCACCACAAGTGCGGGGCATGGTCTGCAGAAGCGGGCTCTGCGGAGGTGCAGTCTGAGGGCATTCGGCATGCAATTTACATGTTTGTGCCGCATCAACCTCACAGGAGTGAAGCAAATGAAGAGGGACCTGCTCTCGTCTCGCCCACGCCGCTGACTCCTCTGAGCAGCGATGCAAGATTCTGAGTGTGCTTGGTAAGAGCGAGATGCCCCAGTTCAGTGGGAGCCCTTCAAAAAGGCATGCTCCGTTCCCAACAGCAAGACCAAGTGAGCAGCGACCACCCACGCGCTCTCTCGATTTCGTGCGAGTCGTTTCATGCTGAAAGGAAGTGGCATCGGCAGCAGAACTGGACCAGATCCAGAAGGCCCATTCTCGTGTCCCGTCACACTGCACATGGATGCAAATGGCATTCCCGGTGCAGAGGATCTGAAGACATCAGAGGTCGATCGTGCTGGCGGCTCAGCTCTGGAGGTAGCTGGGACCCAGTTTTGCATCTGACAGTCTCACTCGAGGCCAAGATCACGCTGCTGCAAAAGACTGCTGGGGATTGCCAAAGCTCATCACCACGGCTAACGGCTGACGTTGTTTTCCGGTTTAGGACAGGCAGGCACAGACACACAATCACCGACTCGTAAATAACTTGCACGCCGCACCCACCCCTGCACGCGTCTGGCCGATAGATCCCATACAGTTTTATTCTTAAGCCAAGGGACCATCGATTCAGAGAATGGTCAGAATTCGAGGAGAGCTTGCTCAAGGCAGCGAAGGTTATCATGCTACCAAGTGTGTGCTGACACTCACAAACTGTTTTCCGCCATACCAAACCCGAGAAGCAGGAGCCCGACAGAAACTAGGTCAGCAATAGCGTGGCACTGCACAGCATCATTATCATAACCTTTATCGTGGCTTGAGTCGAGTAGCCTGCGCTCCGAAAGATTCTTGCCTTGTGACAGGAGTCTGGAAACCCAGCAGCTTCTTGCAACGCAGAGCCAGGCACGTAAAGGATAGGAAAGGCCATGGTCGTGCAGACTTCGCATTTCGGTCGAACACTCGGCGATTGTCACCGTCCTCTAAGTCTGTCAGATAGATGCAAAGCCGATACTTGCTGGGAGGATGTCCTGCAGTCATTCCCTGGGGATGAATATCCTGGAAGCGTGGGCTCCTAAGATCCATGGGCGTTAGTCGGTTGTGGCTCAGAGCAGCTGACGGGAAGAATTCTTTTAACCTGCAAGGTCGTGCGCGAGCAGCAACAGCAGCTTAAGGACCCCGCCTGATGTGGCAAATCTTTCTCTTCTTAGCCGGCGAAATACGGCTATGCTACGTACAAACGATGTCACGAGGAGATTGCTGCACAAACTCAAGGTGTCCTTGGCTTCAGCCTCTCGACCTGGACAGAACCTCCAAGCCCACAAATGACGGCACTGTGTCCGTGCGATGAGGCGCGAAGGCCGCAAAGGAAGCTAGTGAAAAGGCTCTGCAAAACGCTGTCGCCATCGAGAAGGTGGCCCAACGAAATGCATGCGTGACTGCATGAACCCTCAGCAGCTGCACAACGCCTTGAGGCAGCAATGCAGGCACAGCACAAAGCCGAGATCCAGCACGCAGAGGCAAAGAAGGCCGGAGTCTCAGTCTTACTGTAGCATTTGCTTTGGACTGCCGTTCTCAAGCCGTCTCTCTGGGGCTTTTACATGGCTCCCATTCTCAACTGTCAACAGTGTACAGCATTGAGACAAAGTGCGTGTCAAGTCATAAAACTTGCCTTCCGGACCTCTTCTTTGATTCTGGTCCACGCCAGAATGGGTTCCTAGTCTTGAAAAAACTGTTCTGCTTGCCGGAATCCGTCAATGCGCTGCTCCGCCAAGCAATTTCTTCCTTGACTTGTATTTTCGAGCAGAGCAACTGTTGAGTGCAGGCTTCCGAGATGTCTGCAAAGCTTGCGTCGGAGGCGTGGAACACTCCACGGTCATTGCACCACTTACACCGCCGCATTTGCTGCGGCAGTCTGCTAAGGCCAAGGTCGAGTTGCAGCGCGTTGAAGCGGCCACGGCGGGAGTCACAAAAAGAAGTCGACAACTGTCTACTGATGTCTGCTGATCATCGCAGCTTTGAGGCATCTGCGGTGCAAGACAAGACGGAGCCGGCGCAGAGGTCACGGAAGTGCAGAGTCTGCTGGCATTACCTTCTCTCTAGCTCGTCTCCAAAGCATCTTTTTTGCTATCATGGTGCCACACGTTCCGTGGCTACGTCTAGTGTAAACAGTTGCAGGTTTTGGATCGCGAAAAATGTAGTTAGTTAAATTAGAGGTGACAAGTGCCAAGCAAAATCACCGGGCAAAGCCAGATGGCGGCAGATGGAGCTTGATGTGTACCATTGGTTCTGAGGATCCAGACGTAGAAATTTTGATCGCTGCAGAGCAGCATCTATCGGCGAGGGAAGCATGGCGACTTACCAAGTCCCGTCGAAGGCATGACAGCCGAGTCACCAGTGCTCCGTCAAGACTTCAGAAAGCCGCTCCTCTGCAACCTGCACAGCTACACGGCGAGCATGAGTTTTGCCTGTGTGAGGTTGTCATGGTGAGGAAGTTCCTTGGCTTCCGACAGAGCGATACCCACTCTCGAGCCTTGCTTTCTGTCTGATCTCTCTCCAGGTCGAACAGCACCGGCCTGGTGGAGGACGACGCTCTGCCACGTTTGCCAATGCCACAGGGCACAGGGTGCGGCTTTCGACAAGCGGCCAGGATGACAGTGCGGACTACGACGACAGTGAGCTTGACTAGGGAGACGGAGGGAGTGACTCCATCATCTTTGCCCAAGAGCCCTAAAGCAAAGGAGCACGGAATGGAAAACAGGCTCTGCTAGCCCTTTCTTCGGTGACACATCTCATGATGCCGACAGTCTCGAGGCCAGACTGGATGCACTTGGGATGTTGGGGCCGTCGCACCTACAACTACTCCCGAATCCTTGGAACGCCTCGACCCTGCCAGAACCCGAGGCCCCAAGACGCCTGGTTTAGCCTGCCATGTGAGATACCGAGCAGCATTTGCTTGCCGTGCCCTTGTGACTTCGCTTTGTTGTTCAAGTGTGTGAAATGTTTCCGCACGCACACTCACCAAGCTTGAAGAAAACGCATGAAGGCACCATCCAGTTTTCCCGAAAGGTCTGAGTGTCTGACACTTCGACCGAGCACAGAGCTGGGCTGGATCTGTTTCGGCTCATAGCACAATGGGGTTTGGCCAGTTTGGACAGATCCTGGCAAAATGTCAACATCTGCTTTGGGGCAGTCGGCACAGTCCTGGAGGAGTGCAAGGCTCGCAGTCGGCTGAGTTCAAGAAATGCAGCCAGATTTTTGCTTGCAGGCTTACGAGGGCAGGGTCGTCAGGAACTTTGCCAGCAGCTGGCATGGTGGCCTGGCTGCAAGAGGAACCTTAGAGCTTGTGGATGCTGCAAGTCCTGAAATGTTCCTTGCCATGGTGCTGTGGTCAACTGAGCAACGCTACACAAGGCCGTGCAGACGCCGAAGGGCGTGGTGAGGTTGGAGGCACGCCCAAAGCGAACAAGTCAGACGAAGCCTCTGTAGCAGCGTGCGCATCGGCCAGCATTGGACATCGATTGTCACTGAAGTCCCGCGTGAAATTGCGTGAACACCTAAAACTCATTTGCCCGCTGGCACTCAACGATTTTGCAAGGACCTCTGCCGCCCGCGGCGGAGTCGTGCGAACGTCAAGACTAACGGCCGTGCCGACCTCAAAGTACTTGAGGAAGTTGCCCATCACCGCACAAGATGTGAAGCCGCCGGCCGTTGCAATACCACTTTCAACATTTTATGCCGGCAGGCAAGTCCTTGGGAGACTCGGGCTCGGCTAATCGATGAAAAGCTGTTGTTTTCGACGCTAATTTGATTCCCAGAAGCCCCACTAAAGAATAAGCAGATCTAATCAGTCTACAGACGAACGAGCGCAGTCTCTTGAGTTCTGGGGCCAGACGACTGAGGAGACCCCATCACAGATGAAACAGAGACCATTGTCATCCATGGTTGCAGATATTTGTAGACCGGTTGCACAAGCAAGAAGCCAAAACATGATGTGGAAACAGCATTTCTGAGATGTCAGCACCATGTCTTCAACATGCATAGCCATGAAGGCAGACGTTGGCACCCGAATCTGGCTATGGCTCAATTCAAGCATGCAAAACATCGTGGGCCTTTGCTCCAGTGCATTTGCATTTGTAGCGGAGCCACCGAAAGCTCCGAGCCTTGTGCCCCTACAAATGCGATGGCCTCTGGCAGCTTGCTGGATGGGCTTCACTTTCAGCGCTTCCTGGCGGATGAAGATTCCACAGGACAAGGCGCCTCCGTGTCGGAGGGCCATTTCGGAGTAGCAACGTACAATGGAGATCCCAGCAGATTCAATGAGTGGCTCTAGGAAAGAGAAGTCCCTGACGGACACCGAGCAGAAGAAGCTTGGACCTCTGACCTTGCGGCTGATTGAGTGCTGTTCTGGCCAGGCGCTCAAGATGGCTCAGGGCCTCGACATGGCGTAACTGGAGAAGGCCGAGGGCTCGGCAACCTGCCGAGTCCATGGGACCGTTTGTGTTGAGGCGACGGGCATGGTACCGCGCCATGATCGACTTGGACAAGGAACTGAAGCTGCCGGACCTCATCCTCTCGGAGCAGCTGCTGAACAACGTTGGCCTTTCGCACAACCCGAAGCTCATGATTAGAGCGGCGATTGGCGGTGACATGTGGCCGAGGACTCGTGGCCCGGCACCCTCACATCCACGATCGAGCTCTACAGCATCCTGGACACCATCGACGACATTATGGAGACCATCGAGGGCATCCTCCTGGACCGCGACTTGGATATGAAAAAGGAAACGGCTACCACAAACCAGGCTTCTCTTGGAGGCCCCGATTCCACGCCTACAACGCCGAGTACGAAGACCAGGACTACCCGGAGGACGCGTATCCGGACGATGCCGAATATACCAGGATGAGAGTGCCTATGCCTAAATGGGCCGAGAGGAAGCGGATCCAAGCGATCCGTATGAGATCGGAACCTTGCCTTCCTCACAGAGGGCGGACTTGACGTGAAGGACCCAGTCGCCTGTATGCTGCCAAAATCGTCCAGTCCCAGGAGGAAGCATACTACGCAGGAACGCAGGCGAGAACCAAGGGCCACAGCGGTTTTCGCGGACCCTACTTTGAGCTCTCCGGCAGTTTCTGACTGGATGAGAAACGGGCTAAGCTACAAGCCTTGAAGGCACGGACGACATGCAAAAAGTGTGGGCTGTTGGTCACTGGAGCGGAGATAGCAAGGGATCATCCTTTACGAGCAGCGCGGCCATCAACTCCTGCTGGCAAGGGAAGGCCTCCCAAAAGAGCCGAGACCAGAACGGTCTACTTCTCCATATCCGAGGACACCCACAGCGACCAGCGAAGACGACATACGTCAGTTGCTGCCTAAAGACGTTTCGATAGATGTGGATAGCAGCCTCACGACCCGGGCGCTAGCGGCTGGCTTCGTTGTTGCGTGGCAGGACGCGCAGGCTAGAATCAAAGCCACGCGGAGCTAGAAGCTGCTAAGCAACTTCGTGAATGGGCTAAACCGATACCGCAGACCGGCTATATGGCTTTGCGGCAAGCTTTTGCCCTGAAGTTTGGCGAGCCCGAGGATAAGCATGTGCCGGCTAAGGAGTATATCGAAAGTACAGCTACCACCACCAGTACGACTACTGCTACTGCTACCACTGCCACTACCACTACCACTACTACCACTACCACGACTACCACTACTACTTCTACTACTACTACTACTACTACTACTACTACTGCTACTAGTACTACTACTACTACTACTACTACTACTACTACTACTACTACTACTACTACCACTACCACTACCACTACCACTACCACTACCACTACCACTACTACGGCTACTACTACTCGGATCTGCTTCTACTGCTGCATCTATTTCCGCTTCTACTACTCCTACGACTACCACTGCCACTGCCACCACTGCTACTGCTACTGTTGCCAAGTAATTACTGCTACTCCTAAGGTTTCAAAATAGGCTTCGGGCACTGGGCACAGTACCCGGCGGCAGCACACTCAAACAGCATTCTTCCACACATTTGGGTCAGCACCTTCCTTCACAGTTGTTTCCGGCAGTAGTAGTTGCTTCACTTTGCGGTGGTTTTTTTCGGGCATCCGAGTCCTTGGACCTTTCAATGACGGTCATCGGTTGAACAGTGATGCATCACTGACAGTAGCAGTGGATTTGTCGGTGCATTCCACGCCGGACTAGCATGCGCAAACTCAAGTTGCAGAACAGGGCGGAATTAAACGTGTTGTTGCACACGAAAAGTTTCCATCAAGCTCGGACAGTCTAAACTCACTCGCGACAGAAGTTTGCCGAGAGAAGGGCCCAACTTACGGTTGATTGCCAACGGCTATCAGCATACCAGTGAACTGTGTTTTTTAGCACCGGCCCTCTCAACAGCCCAGCAGAGCTGCTGCGACTGGTCTTTGCTCGCCTTGGCACGCAGTTGGGAGGGAGGTCGCGGGCTTCAGGGCAACTGAAGATGTCCTCGATCTTGGGATGAAGACTGTGAGCGGGTCCTTGGCGCAGTGTTTTCTCTCGTGTCCCTGAGAACATTCCGGCTGAAGCTCTCCATGCTTCGACAGCCCTGCAGTTGAGAAATGTTGGGAAGCAGGCCAGGATGGGAAAATGCAGCTGGCCAGGGCGAGCTCGGGCATCTCGGGCAAGGGATCCGACAGAAGGATAGAAGGGGCACACCATTGTGGAGGGTGCATTGGTATACCCTATTAGACGCTCGAAACACTCAAATAGCAAGGGTGCTGCGCAAGTTTCGCTTCAGTTTGTCCAGGTGCCTTCCACAAGCCCTTCGAGGCGGGCGTTCGCAAAGTCTCGCCAGCAGGATGTAGCAGCATTGATAGTTGAATCTGAACACAGCACCACTCAAAGGTTGCATACCGGGAGATAGCGGAGCTGCGCAACTTCCGGCGCTTGGAGGAGATGCGGGCAGTGGTTGTGATGTAGTGAGTTAAATGCAGGGAGCGAGGCAACGTCAGATGAGTAGGCAGCTGGTGGGGAATCTTCAATAAAACAGCTCTTGCCAGTCGCCTGCTGGCAGGGCAGAGTTGCTGATTTCTTGTTTGCATGACATGTTTAAAGGCTCCGGTCTGTCGTGCTAGACGATGAGTGGTGTGTTTGTCTGCGCTTTCTGATCAAAATTAGATGAGTGCGGCATTCTTGTTCTGGTTTTGGCTTCTGCCTGCTGCTGGAAATTCTGCAAACAGTGCCGTGCAGTTGGCGCACATCCAAAAGCGTCGTGGATTTCCTTCTCGGAAAGACACCTGCGTGAGGGGTCTGTGCGTTTGTGTCTGTGTGTGTGTGTGCGCGCGCGTGCGTGTCCGCGTGCGTGCGCGCGCAACTAGACGACACGCTTTGTTCTGCACTTGCAATCCTAGTCTTCCCGGCGAATTCATGCAACTTGTTCGCTATGCACTGGTCGTCGTCCTCGGTCAATCGACGAGTCTGTTGCATCATCGGTACCGTGTACTTGCTACGAATCACTTCAATCGAACGTTTCGGATGGCAGACTAGTGCCTTGAGTGGTCTTTCTTGTTACACTTTGCGAGATATCTTTTGTTCTCCTGCACTACTGTTTCCCAGCGCACTGCATGTCATCATCTCATTCTTGACGGTCAAACACCATGTTCTGTCGGGGATGTACAGTATTCCGAGATTGATGGACCAAGCGCGGGTTTCCATGCTGAGGGTTCCGATTGTGTCTGCATGGCAATGAGTTTGCCCTCTGTTCACAGACCGGTGCATGTCTGTGGGAGTGAAATTTGGCCACCAGTGACATCCGTTTATATACTTTGACATCATGAAGGGGCTTCGACCATCCACTGACGAACGAAACCGTGACTCGACAACGGACACTTTTGTCGCTGTACTCTGCTTTTTTATGCCTTGATGAGTTTGCTGGTGTTTGCTGCATCGGTCGATACTCTCCAGTTCAACCGAGTGGCGTCAGGCTGCGGCTAGAACGTCGAGAAAGTTTTCAACAGAAATGGCTCCACGGCCACCACTCAGGATCAGTGTCCGATTTAGGAGCAGCAAAAGCATGATGGTAACAACGTACTTCCACATTACACAACTCTGGCAATCGAAGTGCGTTTGTCCTTCTGCTTGTTGTCCGTCTGAGTCTATGTTTCCGCACGCGGTTGCGCTTGTCATATTTGCTTCGGTGGCGACTGTCGGCCACATCATCACGACCACCACGGTATGGTAGGTGTCTTCGTGGTATCTTCATGGCCGATGGTTTATGGCGCTGCTCACAACCCCGTGAACTGCCACCGCAATCACAAACCGTGTGATCAGAGGAGATGCAGGTCCAGCCACAAATCTGAGTATGACAGAGCTCGGGTCTGCTGTATCAATGCAGGATATTCCCAAGCACTCGAAAGCAGGAAGGAGAAACGAGAGGGCGAGAACGTACCATGACACTGGTGCAAGGCTTTGGCTTGCTCGAAGCTTGCAGTTGAGTATAGGAATCCCACCGTTTTCGAAGTAGTGCGGGTTGTAAACGTCCAGCCGTAGCACATTAATGCACGTTCGCTTTGCCTGCAGCACCTTTTCATAGCGGCCGACGTGGACCGCTCTGGGGAGATGAGTGGTGCCCTCAGGCTTTCGCTGTCTTCTGTTGGCTGCTGTTGAGGAAAGGAGTGTGTGCGAGCCTCGCGGTGTCCATGAGTTCGTCGTGGTAATCGTAGCCCTTGTGCTGCATTGGCGTTGGGGTTTATCAACTGCAGCAGCACTTGCGTTGCCGGCACTGGGAGGTTTCTATTGATGCCAGGTTCATCGCAGTGCTGAGTTCGATCCGCTCGGCTTATGCGACTTATCTACTGGCTTCTACTGGCAAGGCAGTAACGATGCAAAGCCATGCAAAGCCCCTCCAGAAGCTCAATCAGCAATGAGAAGATCTTGTTGTGCCGGTTGCCGGCCTGGTGACATGTATCATGAGCATGTCACGAGATCTCGCGGAGTGGGGCTGGAGTAAAGCAGACTTTCAATGGGCCGACGAGGCCCCGAAAGCAGCGAATTCAGTGATGGCAAAAATTTGGGTGGAAGGGGGGCGGGGGGGGGGTGGGTAGGTCCAGCGTTTTTAATGGGTGGCGGTAGATTGAACGTTTCACAGGATTCGCTGCTTTCGGCATGGTGGGGGGGGAAGTTTTGGGAGATTGGTGCATCCAGGAACGGAGCGCTGAGAAGCTGTCCAACTCATCAGCTGCCTCCGATGCAGCTTCTGCGCGAAGTCTCCCTTGTCTACACGCGCATCTTATCGGAGGTGTGTGTCATGGAAAGATCACGTGTTCAGTGGCCTGTGCTCAGTCGGACAGCTGCCGTGAAATAGTGTCGTGTGTCGATCATGTGTCCTTCTGCATAGTTCGGGACACTTAGTGTACATCTCTCCTAGTCGGCAAACTTGGCATCAGGGCAGACCGCAGCCATTCGAAGTACATCTAAGCTGAATGGACTTGCAGGTACGTCCTGAGGCCAGCGTTTGCCAGCTGATAGGTTCTTGCCTCTGAAGTGTGGGTGAGTCTGCGAAAAGAGGCTGTTCAGCTGCAGGATTTCTTGCCTCTGAGTTGCAGGACGGTCTGTAAAATGAAGAGCTCCTGCCAATGAAACCTGCTGAGCTTTCGTTGTTCATGGCCTGCCTCTCGAGTGCAAGAGTAACTTGGAGAATTCGAAGATTCGAAGCATCCCTGCATGACGAAAGCAATCACAGACTCCGATTTTGTGCGATTCCTCGGTGTCGAAGCATCGCAACGGAGGTTCTGACTTGCATCGCTAATTTCTGCCGATGTGACATGAGAGCTTGATCTGCCTATGCTCCAAGGCGGACAATGGCCCGAAAATCTGGATTCTTTCAGTCATCAACCGGTCGAATATCAATCGACTTCTCGGACACATCTGTTCAAGTACTGGTGGAGCTTCCCTTCAGCTGTGCTTTCAGTGGTTTTGACTACAGATCGGGTAGGTGTTCATCGCAGAACCCAGAATTTAGTAATTTAGTACCCGTTGGTTGACTGCTTGCCAGTTCGCAGGCAATCGTTACAACTGAAATGCATGATTGAGAAAAGCGTGTGCCTTTAACTGTAACTGCTCTTGTCTTTCGGGAGGGGAAAGCTGCTGGCACAACGAGGCTTAGACGAGTTTCGACAAGCTCTGCGAAAACCTTGGTTTCAAAGGCCGGGGCATCTCCCTGAGCACAAGTCAGCGTGGCACAAGAAACACTTCTCGGAGACGGCCCAGCCAGGTCGTTTTCACTATTAGGCGTCCAGCCACATCAAGCAGAGGCTCCACAGCTTCGCATAGCTTCGCACGAGCCTTAAAGATGCTTTCTTTGAACCAGGTCGTGTTCAAGAAAATGAACACAGCCAACGCAGAGGCTCGGGAGTTTTTGCACTTGCCATTCTTGCTTTTGCTTTTCTGGAAGATTATCGAGGAAGGGCAAAACACCCCCTCGGGTCTAAAGCAATTGCTTGAAGCTCCGTGCGCACGTGTCTGTCAAACTGAAGTACGAGAAAGTCATCTCGGATCTCCAATCACTGCACCGCGTCACAAGAGTTCGCCCAAAGGAATTAGTGCATGCATGATCTCTATGTGGCGGCGAGGCTGGGTTTTGCAGTGGATTCATATTGACAGTATTCGGCGGCAATGATTGCAGCATGCATTGCTACAAAAGCAGTTGCCACAGCGGCAGCACATTCGCAACTCGTGCGCTTTCGGTCAGTTACAAGATGTTACAAGGATCTTCAGATGCCTGTGGTTTTCAGCATGCAATACTAGGCCGCGGCGCACCGCTACCCCTTATGCTGCCCTCTCTCTCTTAGACCAAAGACGCAAGTTCGCAGTCCCCTGCCGGCCCCCATAGCAAGCCATAACCGTGCAACAGTGTATGACCGTGGTTTGATCTAGCCGCTTCGTCTGCACATTCAGACGGCGACCGCAGAGTCTTACATGCGCCAGCAAGTGTGCGAACACTGCAAAAAGATCCAGGTACCGGAATCCCCGGATTGATAATTGGATCCATTAACCTGAACTGTTCTTGCTCCTCATGTGGTGATCTGGGTCATCCTCCGGATTTCGATCATGTGCCAGAAGCCTCTGTGTATCAGCATCTGTCGTACATCCAAGCACGTAGGATCCGCTTCTGTTGCCGCAGATTGCCAGGAGATTAGCATCTCGGACTTCATGCAGGGCCTCGAAAGCCTATTGGGAACAGACCTGGACGGACCTCCTCGTGATCTTGATGTGTCCCTGTGTCTCGGCATACCTTAGTGGTACCTTGATCGTTTGTTCGCGTGCCGGGTAGGACAAGAAGTAGGCATGTCTTATGCAGCCTTAGGCTTCAACAGCAGATTAGTGCTCAAGTTCTTGACTTACCTTGGTTTCAGGCATATCGGAAAGTGGGAGAACGTGACAGCATCAAGCAACAATCCTGTGCTTTTTGTGAATACGTGTGTTCCATTCCGTGTCTTTGCAAATCGCCGGCCATCGATCGCCACAACTACAGAAAGACAAACAAAAGAACTGGGAATTTCCAATCGCAGCGGCACACATTGGGGAAGAGTACCGAGACTGGCTACAGGAGCAGAAGCGACCAAATCTGAGAATGCCAACACAGCAAGCAGCGATCCGCTAACGTTTCGTAGGTCTAGCAGTAACTTTCGGAATAGCTGTAGCTGCAAGCAACCTACTGCTTCTCTCTATCAGGGGCTGCTCGGACCACGAGGTCCACGAAAGAAAATGCGGTTGATCTCACTCCCGCCCGGCACGGAAACCCAAGCATGTCCTTAATCGCAGTCTCGCATCCCACAAAGTAGCGGCTCCACGCAGCCCATTCGGCCCACTGCTTCCTTTGCCGTGCTGGCATGCACGGTGATGGTAAAGTTCGCCTTGCGGTGACATAAGTGGCAATAAGGGTCGTTACAGCGCTTCTTGATGCTGTTGCAGCTGCAGAGCCAGTGTGAAGACCAAGGCTGAGCTCACGATTCAAGGCAGGGCAGCGGGGTATGCAAGTTTCTCAACGCTGATATTGATGCTCGCACACGTTGTCGCTGTGCCCCTCACGCGGAAGTCGGCTCGAAGGGCTCAGCTGCAGAAAGTTGCCTTGATCCCCAGTGGGACAGAGGAGTCGAGCATGCCTATGTGAAGGCGGAGGCCTCCACTGCTGAGTCAAGGACCTTCTAGAGTACGAGCATGAGCACGAAGCTGGCTGGGCCAGATTGAAGGCTGCAGAGCTCGTGACGGCCAGCGCACAGCCGGCGGAAGAGTCGTAGGCGAAGTAGCGAGCAAGGCACGAAAGGCCCAGACTGATCAGACCACGCGTTTCCTTGTAACCATCGCTAGTCACGTTGCTTCCCAGTCCCGAGAATTGATGGCACGTTCTGTTTGGCAAGCTTCCGTGAGAACGACTGGCCAACCCAATCCGTGCCCAACCGGGAATTCCGACATGAACACGCGAAAGATGGACATTTGCTCCTGGTCTTGTTCTTTGCTATCTCGTCTAGATGAAACAACATTGAATCACGAAGAACTCTGCAGATTCCGTGGAATTGGCTCAGAGTGTAGCACATGCTTAATGTACATGTCCTGGAGTCGTGCAGACAAGGCCAAATGGTTTGCCAGACTGCAGAATGCCAACTCAGCAACAACCAGCTGGACAAGCGGCTAAGTCTGGCTAAGTTAGCACAAGCAAGATCCAGAGATTCGTTTGCGCTGGCAAACAGCCGACGGATCGTGCCCGATTCAAGCAAGGTCATGGATGTGCCTTCCATGCTAAAGAAGCGCCTGCTTGCCTTTGCAACGTAGACTCAAAACTGCTCTCACTCTGTGCACCGCTGGCTGTGCAACTGGACGTGTCGAAAGCTGCATACAGCTTAGTGAACCTTTGTAGTTGCGTAGCTGTCACAGCCGCAGGCGAAGACAAAGCTGACATCCTCCAGAAGTGGAGAGCCCGGAATGTAAGAGGCAGACTCAGCGGGGACCTGCTGCGGCTTCAGGTGAGCCGGCGCTGGTGGACGTCCCAACAGACTTCAGAAGCTTGCCAGAGCGAGATCACGCGCAACTCGGCCGATCTCTCACCTGGCCTCTGTCAAGACGACAAGTTGAACTGGTGCAAATGACTGAGTGCAGAAGATTGCAGAAGGGGCGCGCGCTGTAACATGGGCTTGGTCACAGTTGCTCACCGCGGATTCTGCGTTTTCGTTATTCCGGATGCAACGTCCGGGGACGTTTGCAAGCTGTTCAAGTTGCCTGCTCGCAGGTTTGTACGCCCAAGCCCCAGAAACCAATGCGAAACGACCGGCAACGTTTAAGGGAATCCAGGTCAAGCTTGAACTCCCCCACCTCCTTCATCCTGACCTCTGTCGAAGCCAGGATGGCACACGGAAGTTTTGGAGAGTTTTTGAGTTGTGGCAAGTGCGCCAAGTAGTCTTTAAAATCAACGCAATAATGGTTTGCGCTGTGGTCCACGTTTTCAGCTTGCACCTAGCCGAATCTAATCACAGCAACGTTGGTGCTGCTGCCAAGCATCAGTCTTCCTCCAGGTGGAGTGGCTACAGTATGACGCGAGAACCAGAAGAAACTGCAATCGGATCAAACTCGGCATCAGATAACAGACATGCCGTCGGATCATCAGCGTGCGAAACCGGGAAAGACAGCCACACCAAGCAAATTCAGCACTAGAAAAGCGCAAAAGAAAGCAGAAACATGCCACCTGCGCCTAGAAAAGGCGAGAGCGGAGCACAAGGTCGCAAAGCAGCCAAGTGTGGGGGGTTTGGCAGAAGTTGCCTGTTGGGCACAAGCAGAGCACAATCAGAAAGCACAATCGAATCAACTTGAGAGTGCAGAAAACAGGTCCAAAGTGGCACGAGGAAGGCAAAATAGATGGGCCACCCAACCCCCCCCCCCCCCCCCCCCCCCCCCCCCGTAGGCCACCTCAAAGGCCAGCCTGGTGTGGCCAACGCAACCGGCAAGCTATCGTGGGCTCAGACGAAATATATGTGCTTGCTTCTGCTGAGCATCTTCATCATCTTCGTTTCGTCTTGCTGCTAGGGTGCTAGGGTCAGGCGGCGCCACGCCCAAAGAGTTCCACAACTCGGAGGCAAAATAAAGCACCTCTCTGGAACGAGAAGCCTCTTGCGCTGGTGGATTCGTTCATGTTGCAAGTAGTAGCGCATTGAGAGACTGAGAAGACTGGTGAGGTCCTCAGACTTCACATCTACATCTTGCCTGCACCATGATCCAGGAAGCACGACATATCAGCTGCGTTGGCCGTGTTGTCTCCGACCTCTTCCAGGTCGAAAAAGGCAGCGCTGGCAGCTGTTGCATGAGATTCCTCCACACGTAACCCATGCTTTCAGGCATCGCGGAACCGACAAGGAAGCCAGCAGACACAGGCCGCGGCACGAGCATCATAGCAGCTTTACAAAGCTTTAAAACATGTGCTGATCTGCCGGGCAGGCTGCGGGAACGGAGGGCCCCCGACTCAACGTAGAGAGCGGAGTAGCGAGCAGACAACACAAAAAGATGCCAAAGACTGGCTGGTATTTCTTTCAACACTGATCTGGAATACGGAGTCTCCGAAGATCTCCGAAGCTTCAAGCTGCTCCAGAGCAGGTCCCGACGCGACGAACAAAATCTCTGACGTCGCGTCCCCGGCGACGACTGAGAGGCGGCAGGCAGGGCAAGCATGGGCAAGCGGCGGTAAGGACAGTCCAATCAGCCTCCAAAGCCAAATCTTCGCTTTGTCCAGGCAGGCTATGCTTAAGCCGACGGGAGCTGAGCAAGTGCATAAGACCATCACGAATCTCTGTACATACTCGAAGCCGAGAAGCCGGAGCTCAAAGGGCTCACGGCAAAGTGCGGGGCAGCTGCTTAAAGCAGTGTTCAGTCCTGCTGTCTGGTGGGTACTCATGCTTCTTGTGAGTAATTGCGACAGTCCAAAATGGGTCACAGTGCGAGAGGGGTGCCATAGCAGCGTCATCACCATGATCTGCATGCTACAGCTCGCGCATGAGTGCAGCTTCGTTTGCACGCAAACGTCGAGAATCCTGCGGCGCAAGACGTGGCTGAGTAAAGCCGTCATGACAACCCAACTCAATCATGGGTGCGCCAGGGCATCGCCGGCAAGCCAGGACCATGTCAAAAGAAGTCACCAATTATCAAAGCAGCCTTCCATGTGCGCTTTGACGCGCCTCTCTGCAAGTAAAGCGGCATGCAAAAAAATTATACTGGGAGCTCCGCTAGATCAGCTCAAGGTGCAGCCAAGCAGCTGCGCCTTAGAGGCGAGTGTTGAGCAATTCCCGATACTTCCCGCACCCTCGTGGAGTAAAGGCTCAAAGATGCTCTAAGCATCCCTCAATATCTTTGTTTCCACGCCACTATATCACTGATAGGTGATACCCTGAAGAGAGCCTGTCCGTACCTCGGGCCTGGCTGTAGTCTCAAACAGACACCGCACACGAACCTCAACGTTGCGCGTGAGCGGTAGTTTCTTGCTTCAAGACACCGAGTCAGCAGAGAGGTGGCCACCTGCCCTCTTTCCAGAGATTGTGCACCCGAGACTGTTTGCTCATAATTACTTTACTTTACTTTGTCAAGAACGGGGCACAAACTATTTCACTGGCCCGCAAGGGCGAAACAACCCGAGTAGTAAAATGAGGGATGGGGTAGCGCCCAGGGCGCGGGCTGGGAGGACTGCTCCCAGCTCAGACCCCGAGCAAAGCAAGGCAAAGCAAAGTAGAGCCGACAACCAAGGACGAATACACGCGCGGAGGGGTACTGACTGCTGTCCTTTTTGGCTGTGTGGATGGAGAAGAGAGAGGAGAGAGAAGAGAGAGATGGCTTAACTCGCCCCTTCAGCCTGGGAGAAGAAAAGAAAGAGAGCCATTTGGTTCAGGCATGTTCAAGTCATCCGCCGCGTCTTTTTCTGGGTGCGCTCGGCAACGGCCCCATAGGCTAGGAGAGAGTGGGCTCTCCTGGTCCCGGGTGGACGTTTGCCCAGCGTGGTGGCTTGAGGCCTTCCGTCCGACACCGTCTTCAGCTCAGGTTCCAGCAGAACAAGGCTCCCACGTGCCGCCACAGCAGCGGGGCGACGACACGGCGGTCTTCATTACGATTTCGTCACCGAGGATGACGGAGATTCTGCCCGCCTTTTCGACCGGTCCAATGTGAGGAAAGGAGGGGACGCCCTCGCCTTTTTACGACGACAAGGACGAGTACCTGCAAGAGGGACCAAGAAAGACCAGTGCGGAAGTCAGGAGCAGTACACTAAACCTCGCCGCCCGCTACCTTACGACCCAACCGGGGCACAACTACCAGAGCAGCAAAACCATTTCGCCCCACCCCAAACTGAGGGGACAGAACTGTCCTTCGCGGACGTCTCCTCTAGATCCCCATCCTGACCGGTCCTGACCGACATTTGCACGGGAGCGCAAAACAACAGGACAGGAGAACTCGAGCCCTACGTGACGATCCAGGAAGAGCACACCAACGGTGCATATTACCAGGAATATTGTCAAAACACGGAACAAGACCCTGCCCCACCTGGAACCCGAGCCCTACGAGACCAGTACACCTGCCAGTACACAGCGCCAAGGGTCGCCCTCGGCACACAGAGGCTATGAATGCAACATGATGACCCGGGGACGCTGCAGTACTACACGCCCAGCTTGCCCCGCAGATGGAGGCGATGACCTTCGATGCGCACGAGATCTCCACCTTGAACAAGATGCCGGGAGCCTGTGACGATCCGCTCGAGAAAAACACCCCTGACTGGGACCATCTGAGACCAGCAAAATACCGGGAGCGGGGATCGGAGAGACCAGCTGAGCCCACTGGCACACCACCGCGACAAACTCGTGCCCGGGAGCGAGAACCAAGCCAGGTGTCAGAAAGCGCTGGGATCGAGAGGAACCGCCGAACTCGCGCAGAATGGCGAGAGCACCGACGAGTCGGGCAGCGAATGGGAACGGAGCATGGTTACGTGTACTACACCGGTGAAGACAGGGCGGAGGACTTTATGAACACCGAGATTTGTTCTAGCTGAGGCGATCGCAAAAGTGAGTGCCTACACCTTCTAAATTTTGTAAAGTTGTATTTTTTCATCCTCGGGACGCAGACAAACGGTCAAAGACGCCCACGGCGGAACTAAACCAACTCTTGCCTTTCCTGCTTTCACCCGTCGGGGCTCAGACCGCACTGTGGCAGGAGGCTGACATGGACTTGGGCATAGCACTCGTGCGCAGGGATGCACAGGGGTGCAAGGGTCTTACCCCGAATCCCCTAACACCCTGCAAGCAAGCAAGCAAGCTAGCAAGATACCGAGGGAGAGGGAGGGACCATGCACTCCTACAGGGGGAACCATACATTGTATAAGCAGTCCTTGTCCTCCCTTACCCCTTCCAACATGTGGGGAACCTTCGAGCCTTTGTTCAAGTGCAGCCGAGCCCACCGGGGAATTACACCAGCGTAGACCCCCAAACAGAATGCATCGAATCATGCAGGTTCAAGTTGGAACGTGTTGGAACCCAATCTGGCTTCACAAGCAGATGCTGCGAAAAAATGCGTAGACATGTGGACTATTTTTGCGCAAAAGAAGAATGGGTAGTGATGAGAAGGAAGCGTTCTTTTTTTTTGAAAGAAGAACGCCGTGAACAAAAGGTTTCGTTTGCGGTGGGCAGTCATAGTTGCACCGAGTATGCTCCTTCTTGCAGGTTCAAGTTGGAACGTGTTGAAACCCTATCTGGCTTCGCAAGCAGACGCTGCGAAACAAATGTTTAGACATGTGGACTATTTTGTGCCAAAGAAGGACGGGTAATGATGACATCCACACGAGAAGGAAGCGTTCTTTTCCTGGAACAAGAACGCCGTGACCAAAAGGTGTTGTTTGTGGTGGGCACTCATAGTTGCACCGAGTATGCTCCTTCTTGCAGGTTCAAGTTGGAACGTGTTGAAAGCAGACGCTGCGAAACAAATGTTTAGACATATGGACTATTTTTGTGCACAAGAAGAATGGGTAGAGATGACATCCGCACGAGAAGGAAGCGTTCTGTTTTTTGAGAAGAACGCCGTGACCAAAAAGTTGTGTTTGTGGTGGGCACTCATAGTGGCACCGAGTATGCTCCTTCTTGCAGGTTCAAGTTGGAACGTGTTGGAGTGATGACATCCGCACGAGAAGGACACGTTCTTGTTTGGGAAAAAAGAATGCCGTGACGAAAAGGTTTTGTTTGGGGGGGCCACTCATGCGGCCCAACCGTCCAACCCAGGAGCCCAGAAAGGAAACATGAAGGGAGCCCAGTGGAAGCCCAGGCCCTTGTGCGGCCCAGCCGTCCAACCCAGGAGCCCAGAAAGGAGAAACATGAACGGAGTCCAAAGGCCCTTTGCTGCGGCCCAGCCATACAACCAGGAGCCCAAAAAGGAAACATGAAGGGAACCCAATGCGAGCCCAGGCCCTTGTGCGGCCCAGCCGTCCAACCCAGGAGCCCAGAAAGGAAACATGAACGGAGTCCAAAGGCCCTTTGCCGCGGCCCAGCCATACAACCAGGAGCCCAAAAAGGAAACATGAAGGGAACCCAATGCGAGCCCAGGCCCTTGTGCGGCCCAGCCGTCCAACCCAGGAGCCCAGAAAGGAAACATGAGCGGAGTCCAAAGGCCCTTTGCCGCGGCCCAGCCATCCAACCCAGAAGAAAATCCCAGAAGAAAATTTGATGGGATCCCAGCCCTTTGGCCGCGGCCCAACCGTCCAACCCAGATGGAAACATGAAGGGAGCCCAATGCAAGCCCAGGCCCTTGTGCGGCCCAGCCGTCCAACCCAGGAGCCCAGAAAGGAGAAACATGAACGGAGTCCAAAGGCCCTTTGCTGCGGCCCAGCCATACAACCAGGAGCCCAAAAAGGAAACATGAAGGGAACCCAATGCGAGCCCAGGCCCTTGTGCGGCCTAGCCGTCCAACCCAGGAGCCCAGAAAAGAAACATGAACGGAGTCCAAAGGCCCTTTGCCGCGGCCCAACCATCCAACCAGGAGCCCAAAATGGAAACATGAAGGGAACCCAATGCGAGCCCAGGCCCTTGTGCGGCCCAGCCGTCCAACCCAGGAGCCCAGAAAGGAAACATGAACGGAGTCCAAAGGCCCTTTGCCGCGGCCCAGCCATCCAACCAGGAGCCCAAAAAGGAAACATGAAGGGAGCAGGGAGCCCTTATCCGCGGCCCAGCCGTCCAACCCTGGGAGCCCAAGCCAGTGGCTGCGGCCCAACCATCCAACCCAGGAGCCCAAAAAGGAAACATGAAGGGAGCCCAATGGGAGCCCAGGCCCGTCGCCGCGGCCCACCCATCCAGCCACCGCGGCCCACCTTTTTTCTTGAGGAGAGAACCCCAAACCGTACCTGTTTGGGGAAAATTCCCGGGGGGGGAAGCAACACGGACACCCCGCGAAGAGCGGGTGAAGAGAGAGAGAGAGAGAGAGAGAGAGTGCGCGCGTGGGCGGGCCAGGAGGTCTGCTCCTACTACTCGCCGCTAACCCCCAGTCAAAGCAAAGCAAAGAGAGCGAGAGACGGGTAGAGAAACGAAGCCAGCGTTGATCCGCCATTCGATTTAGTGGACTCCAATTGGCCCAGGTGGAATCCTAGGCATACGGAGACAGCATACGGCATGTTTTGACGCAGCAGCACAACCACCTGTGCACGGCCTGCGGCTGGCCGACACTTAGCAGCAAGCCAATCCGGATGCCAGTCCGATCTACAACTCAGCAAATCTCATCAGAAACTGATTGTCGCTGCATGTCATGGCATTCGTTGCCGTGCCTGTGCAGGGAGCTACGTCCCCCTCGTTGGGGGCCGCAGTCCGTTCGTCCAGCTCTCCGTCTTTGCGACAACAGATACATGATAACGACGCAGGTGGTCTCCTCATCGCTTTGGTATCCTCTGTGTCCATCGCGCTGGTGCGCAGAGGACAAAGATCGATGTGGAGCAGGGCCCGCAGCCGCACGGGCATGAGCAGCAAGCCAGAAGCGGATGTTGAGGAACGGCTTCGGGAAGTGGAAAGTACGATGTCCATGGACTCTGACGAAGACAATATCTTGCAAGCAGATCTCGAAGGCATCGAGACGCAGAAAGGAACTGCTGGACTTCGTTATTCAGAGACCCGCAGCCTGCCACGCTTTTTGTTCTTGCGTGAGCCTGGCTACCGAGCCTTTGCTGCGAACGTTCCTGGCGATTTGGGCTTTGACCCTCTCGGGCTTTGCACAGACGTGCGCAAGTTCGTTGAATATCGCGAGGCAGAGCTGAAGCACGGCAGGTTGGCAATGTTCGCGGCAGTTGCTTGGCCACTGGCCGAGATTGTTGATGAGAGCATCGTCGGCTCTGACTCCAATGCTGTCGACTTTCTCGCAGAAACGGGTGGAAAAATGCTTCCGCAGCTTGGAGAAAATGATACATTCGTGGAAGTCTTTGCTGCCATTGTGTTGGCAATAGGCGGTGCAGTGGAGCTCTTTCGTGGCGAAGGCAAGGATGGCAACGAACCCGGAGATAGTGGCTTCGACCCGTTGAAGTTGAAATCTTGGCAGCCACCGACTCTGCTCCGCAGTTTCCTGCCAGAGAATCGGCCATGGATGGGTGAGGCTGAGATTCAGCACTCACGCTTGGCTATGTTGGCAGTCCTGTATGACATTCTGGTGGAGTTCTTCACACCGAACCCAGTGGTGGAAGACACGGAGTATATCTTCCACAGGATCGATGCCAAACTTCTGAGGTGGGACTACTGGGCCTTGCAGCCAAGCATTCTGGATGCAGGGCCGGATGTGCAGATTTGAGCCTCGATGGCAACATGTGGCCCGTGCCTGTAGCATGGCCTCGTGTACAGCATCAGTTGTTATCCCTCACTTTCCAAGATCGCGAGTTGGGAAAGGGCACTCACACCGTCAAAGGCAGAGAAGCGGAAGCTGCGTCACGGACTCGCTAAGGCTCTTTCCGCATTATTTTTGACGGCCACCTCAACGGCAACTACCCATTGTGCATGAGAATCACCATGAGCATGTTAAAGTTAAAGCAACACCTTGCGGCGCGACACATGTCTTTGCAAAGAGACTCTTGCAACTAGTTGAAGTAGCCCTTGGCTCGGTCACGCATGGCCATACACGGCTTTGCAAGCATAAGACGGAGGCTCATCTCTTGCCCACGCACCTCTCCAAGCTCGCACCTCTATGCCTTGGACCTTCTATGCCCTTCTGCTTCAGCCTCTTGGCTTTCCATCTTCCCAGGAGTCTCTTGCAAGCTACTGTATTGCTGCTGTTTGTCCTGCTCTTTCTTGAGCGCGACGATGCTATGTCATCGCCTCGGAAGACACGAGGTGTAAAGCTCCAATGGCCTGCACAGTCTATACATGTCCGAACTATCTGCGATGTCCCCGTGGCTCCAGACTGCAGGAGGCTTATCTCGTATGGATAAGCATAGCCCGAACTTATGATCAGACATGTCCAGGCTGGCACTGACGTATCGCGCAGTAGCGATAGTTCAAAGCGTATCTCGTGTCGCTACGGTACACAGTGGTTCGCTAGATAGCACTTTGCTGCGACTGCCGTCCACTGCCTGGCGGAGGACTTGCTTGCTAAATCCACGTTCATGTCATGTCGTCCTGCCACCACTGGAGGATTCTAATGGAGAGTGACGATATCTCTATTATCGAAGCCAAAGAGCAGCAGGCTGTGGATGAGTACTGCAACCTGATGGCAGCCATTCCAGCTGGCAACTTTGCGGATGGCATGCTTCGTGCAAATGAGGTCGACAGCATGACGTCCAAGGTCTCATCGAGGGTTTAGTCACGCGGTACCTTTCCGAGCGACCCAAGGTGCCAAGTGAGTCGGTTCAAATCACACATCCGTCAAGAAGCCATCTGCCTGAAGCGGATTGACACGGCCCGGCGTGATCAGGACATGAAACCCAAAGAGTTCTTTGCACAGCAGCTGCGGCTTGCACCTCAAGTGAAGCAGTACTCAATTTGCTCCACCTGGCACGTGTTCAATCACCCGCTGCCTACTCCAAGACGTCGTTTAGTC